AGTTGACAAGAGATCCCCGAATCCACACACTCATCCTTCCAGCTAAGCTTAGCTGACTGACTGACAAAGGGGTTCTAGCGCCCTATTTATAGGCTGGCAGGATGACGTAACAAAGCGACGTAATAAAGCGTAAACAGGCAGCGTCACGTGCAGCGCCACGTGCGTTTTCAGCGTTTGTGAAGGTGTGTGTGTGTGTGCGCGCACACACTCTTTGACTCATAAATATAATGTGAAAAAATAAGTCACGCAACATTTTCCACAAATGCACACGCTAATTCTGAAGTTCACACTCTGTGGTTCACAAATATAATTTGTAAGAACACTTGTAATATAAACTCACAGATCATACGAATTGCTGAACGTGCATTTACGAACAGCTTCTCATTTGTGAACCTTCCTGCATTCGTGAGAGAAATCGGTGTGCTGAATTTCGATACACTCCTAACGTCGCAGATCAACAAACGTCACCATTGGCTAATGACTCTGTCAATCAAATATTTGATTCTGCCAGGGCTGTTCGCTTTCAGCCAATCATATGGCTCCTTATGTTACGGAACAGATCTGCTTTGCGCATGCGTATTGCAGTTCACACGGCAGAGCGGAATGGACCGGTCACAATCTGTGAGTAACAGTTTTATCTTATTCCCGCGTTGTAATTGGAGCAATGTTATAGAATTATGAGTAGAAGCGTTCTTCATTGTCAAGTAAAATGTTTTATGTTCAATTCAGTCCAGACGTTATGTGAAGTCTGGTCCATTCTTCATCTAGTTTAACATCAAGCTAAACTCAAGCGAACATTTGTTTAGTTAGCGTGTCTAGGTACCATTTTTTAGGCCACGGTTGTCAAACTCAAGCCCTTGGTCTATTTTTATTTGCCCTGCGAAATCAATTATCAAATATATAATATTAAAACTGACCCGCCGGGCGATTTTGCTGATAAGACTTCTAATCCCACAGCGCTGTGCGGCGTTAGCGCGCGAGACGAAGCAAGGCCTCTTTTATGTTTACGATCATTAGCATCCATGCTAGTCGAATCAGCGTGTGCAGCGTTACCCTCAGTCTTAAACAACTGAAGATACTCCTCTAAGCGCCCAGTTGACTCAGCGAGTTTCCGACTTTGAACGCCTAGAAAGAAGGTATCTGGCTGGAACAGGTGACCATCAGAGTGGAGAGATCTGAGCTTGAAACATTTAATTGTCATGAACTTTTCTGCTCCAAAGCATGAAAGTTAATAACTGAGATATTTTCATAGAAGATAATTGCTATTTTTGGTTGTTGTTGCTGGCCTGTAAAAAAAAGATTCAACTTACTCTAAAATGGGAACTGGACAGACTACAAATTGAAGAATAGAATAGAAAATCTCTTTATTGTCCCTCAGTGGGGAAACTGTGATGTCACAGCAGCAATAACGTTCATTACAGGAGCCAAACAGGAGAGTAAAACATAATAATAAAGAGTAAACTAAAATAAAACATAAAACAGACAAACTTAAAATATCCAAAAGGTAAAACAATCTAAATACTGAATATGTACACATTGTAAGGAGTAAAAAGAGTAAATAAAAATTGAGTAACGAGTGATGTGTTTTATTTAAAATGTACTTGCTCGTGTGTAATTTGGTCATATCAGATTCTGTGTTCAGATGCAAAAATAAGTTTCTTTCCAATTGAATAACAAGACATCTGTAAATAAACTTTTCAACAAATATTGAGTTTGGCCCGCAATTTTGTGCGATGGTTTTGGTGGTGTGCGATAGTTAAAGAAATATTATTTTTTTTAAATAAAATACATCTTTAAATTTTGGCCAATGAGCTCTGGCACATAATAAACAGAAATACTGCTTCATCATTTCATGTACCTTTGAATCTACAGTTGGTCTTATTTAAAAATGTTTTTTTATTTAAACTATCATAGCTGGAGTGTTAAAAAATAAAAGTGCCATAAGATATTTGGAAGTTGTTATTTTATTTCTATTACCCAACAGTTATCCAATTCATGTTTGTTCTGTTTTTGTTTTGTTTTTTTCCTCTAGGAATCATTGAGGCGTGACATCCTTCAGAGGTTTTACGATCGACTGTCAAGCATCTTGGAGAGGCAACCTGTTGATGGGTAAGGGCTACAGTTTGCTTGTCACCATTATTTAGTTTTATTAGGTGCTCTAGGTGACATTGTTGATGTGGGAGGGAGAGGATATACTTTCTGCTCTTTCCAATCTGAATACTATTATCCAGCAGGAAAGAGATAATCAAAAGACATTAATAACGGTACACGTTGAAAGAGGTTCTCGTGGCCGTCAACAATTGGCGGTGTCGCGAGAGGCTCTCGAACACCTTGTGGAAATGGGTCTGCCAACAAGTGTCATTACCAAACTCCTTGGTGTATCCAGAGCAACTCTATTTAGACGGATGTCTGAAAATTTATTTATTTGTATCTGCCACATACAGTAAATGCAGTGATGAGGAACTAGATTATTTTATCACAGTAATTAAGAGCAACATGCCAGATGCTGGGTACAGAGTAGTCCGAGGTGCTCTACTTGCCCAGGGACATAGAGTACAGTGGGACCGACTGTATGCATCCATGCATCGTGTGGACAGTGCGGGTGTACTTGCTCGAATGACACATCTGGGATGTGTAGTGAGAAGGACGTACACAGTTCCTTGCCCAAAGTATATGGTGCACATTGACACCAATCACAAGCTCATCAGGTAATGTCTGTGTGTAATTGGAGCTGTTATTTTTTGTTTTGGGAGTTACATTTTTAATTGTCTGTGTTTTAACCTAAGGTTGTGCCCGACAAAATACAATTTTGATTATTTATCTTTTTAAATTTAGCTTAACTGTACATTGATTCTGCACACCTATAAACACCCTGTGAAGGATTTATTTAATATGGCTTTTTATTCAAAAGTTCCATATTCTAACTTTAAATTCAGACAGAAACATAAGAAATATCCAGCGAGCTTGTTGTTATTTTGGATTCTCACATTATTTCTTATATAAATGGAGAAAACTACAGATTAGACAATGTGTTAGTAAAAAGATATGATGAAACCAGTTAATCCAGATTCTGTTTACTCGTGTTTATACTCGTCTCCTCAGCTTTTTAGGGAAAACCAGAAAGTCAACATCACCGTCAACACCCCAACGTTATACTTCAAAGATGGAGACCCCGGTTTAGGGTACGATATCGTATACTGGAACAAGTCTGGATCCGGTCAGGGCATAGAAATACAACCAGTTGGAGAATATTGCCCAAACGGAACTATCGTTCTTCCAGAATATCTAATTAATAAAATGAAATCTGTGAAGGTGAGATAAATAATTCATTTATAAATATCCCAAAAGAATTTATGGCTATGATGCACCAGTTCCACCACTTCATTTAAGGTGACTGCCTTTGAATGTGCAAAAACATGCGACGCAGGACACATGTTGGACTATAAAATCGGCAGCCAGTGCTGCTATTGTGAGGAGTGTGGAGCCGGAAGCATCTCGCCTACAAACGGTCCGACACGTTTCCTGTTGAAAAGGCAGCCATACGGCACATTCACTGTTTCGTTTTATGTTCTGGCTTATTCAGGTGTGCTATTTTTAACACTCACTTTTTCTTGTTGTTTACCTTTGCAGGTGAAAAATGTGAACCCTGCTCATACTTGAGGTATCCAGATGAGCAAAACAAAGTGTGTCTCAACAAAACTGACGACTATCTCTGCCGCATCGACCCTGTTCCCATCCTTCTCTGCGTTTTTGCAGCCCTTGGGATAATCGTCTGCATTGCATTTGGTGTTGTGATCAAACTGAACTGTAGCACTCCCATTGTGAAGTCGGTTGGAGGGAGCTTTGTTCCCTGCTGTTCAACTTCTCCCTAATCTTTACCTTGCCAGGAAAACCCACTCAGACATCCTGCGTGGACATCCCTCTCTTCGGTTTTGCCGTGTGCATGTCGTGTATTTTGGCTAACTTGCTTCAGATTTTGCTGGGATTGAACTTTGATGTAAGGATTAGAGCCTGGATTAAGAGGCTGAACCGGCCGTTGGTCGTCGTCTTCATCTTCTCGGGCATCCAGTTGGGTCTGTCCTTGACTTGGCTGATTGTATACGATTATCCTAAATCTGTTTTGTACCATGTGACCTAGCTGACCGAAGGCTTTTCGTAGCCACAGCAGCTTATAACTCGGTCTTGGGCTTTATTTGCTTCATCTTTGCATTCAAGGGGAAACAATTGCCTGATTTGTACAAAAATGCATCGTTAGTCACCGTCAGCGTGGTGCTGTTTATGATCATCTGGAAGCTCTTCCACCCTCTGTTTCTCACTTTAGAGGGGAGATCTAAACCAGCTATAAGATATAAACCAGCTATAAGCGGTGCAGCCGTTCTCATTTCTAGCTACAGCATCCTCTGCTGTCACTTGGCCCCTAAGTCTTTCGTCATGGTGTTCAGGAAGGAGCTGAACAACGAGCACGTCATTGCCGAGTACATCAGGAGTCACTATGAGAGGAAGGGCTTGGCTGTAATGAAACGATCCAACACGTGTCCAGATTCTTCTTGTTGATGGGACTGCTGTAAATGTGTGGCTACTCATTAACCGTCATAATGTGTCTTAGGTAATTCATGACTGCTCAGTGTAGCAGGTATCGGGGCAATGGCTGTTCAAGAGTTAAGAGTTCGCCCTGTAATCAGTGGGTTGTTGGTTCGAACCCAGGCTCGGTCCCAATACACACTACCTGCTGACCTCTATGGAGTGCACTTGGTGGAAGTGAACTTAAAGAGCAAGTCACCCCCAAATCAACTTTTTTTTCTGATAAACTATATAAATGCGTGTCTAATCGTGCTGCAGACACGTGTAGTCAATATTTTAGCACTTTGGTGCATTTTAGTTAAAATTTAAATTTTCTGCCTGAAACTGTCAGTGTTGCGCCGTTGTCAGGTAAAAACTCTTCACTGCATTTGAATTTAAATCTGCCACCGCTATTGGCTAAGAGGTATGCTATGATGTAAACTGGTACATTATGATGTCACAATGTCATGAGTGTGTGTATTTGTTAGTGGCTCCACCCTCTCGGTCTGCTAGGCAACAGCATTTGTTGCATTTTTCAAACATGAAGTGGGAGTGAAGTACGCTTCTTGTAAGGGGTGACTGGCTCTTTAAAGCTTTGAGTGCGTAGTAAGCAAGTGTGCAAATTACAGCAGAATTGGGACAGTGAGCGTTGTGTCATCAGTCGCGACTTCTTAAATGTTAACACCGGACAAATCAAGGATGCAAAAGGGTGTGGCGCCAATGTCGACATTTAAGAGTCAGGACACCCTACACACTGGACAGGAATGGGAATGTGTGACACAAGGGTGGAAGTGCAAGTATTGGGACGTAGCCCTTGGGCAAGACACTTTATTCTCCTTGTCTGCTGGTGTTGGTTAGAGGGACTGGTGGTGCTGACTGTGTGGCAGCCTCGATTCTGCCAGCGTGCTCCCGAGCAGTTGTGGCTAGGTGTGTGTGTGTGAGAGAGAGAAAAAGTGAAACCAACATGAGTCTCATTACATGCAGTGAGACATTTCAAGCCTTTACTTGATATAATCGTGAAGATTATGGCTAATAACTTATGAAACTAACATAAATACACGATCACAAGTACATTACAGAAGTCTTTTGTTGTTGTTGTCTTCCTCCGCTTATCCGGGTTCGGGTCTCGGGGGCAGCATCCCAACTAGGGAGCTCCAGACTGTCCTCTCCCCGGCCACCTCCACCAGCTCCTTCGGCAGGACCCCAAGACGTTCCCGGACCAGATTGGAGATGTAACCTCTCCAACGTGTCCTGGGTCGACCCGGGGGCCTCCTGCCGGCAGGACATCCCCGAAACACCTCCCCAGGGAGGTGTCCAGGAGGCATCCTGACCAGATGCCCAAACCACCTCAACTGACTCCTTTCGATCCGGAGGAGCAGCGGTTCTACTCCGAGTCCCTCCCGAATGTCCGAGCTCCTCACCCTATCTCTAAGGCTGAGCCCGGCCACCCTACGGAGGAAACTCGTTTCGGCCGCTTGTATCCGCGATCTCGTTCTTTCGGTCATTACCCAAAGCTCATGACCATAGGTGAGGATTGGGACGTAGATCGACCGGTAAATCGAGAGCCTGGCTTTCTGGCTCAGCTCCCTCTTTTGGGGGCAATCGCAATCATAAAAATTCAAAACTCCGTAAAGTCCCTTTAAGCTTGGGGATCTTAAGTGTTTTTGGTCGGAACAATTAAAATCTGAAAGTCAAAGTTAATATTTTAACAGGGAAATTAGAAGACAAAAGTAACACCCTATTATTTATTGTAACTAAGAGTAAACAGAAATCCTGTTTTTATCCTCTTGCTCCCCCTTTAGGCCAACAGCTGCAACAGCATCATAGCTAATAGTAAGTACACAAACATCTATGGAGGAATCTGCCACCTTTCTGATTAAATTAAACTCCAGCTGTGAAACTTCATGAGGTCACTTCCTGTTACTGCTCATTAACATTCATATTCAGTTACTCTTCACTGAACTTTGCTTCTGTAAACCTGAACCACCAGAAGGGGCGTTGAGATTCATGATGCTCGTAGATTTCATCCTAAAGAAGTACTCTCACACGGCTCTGCACCTAATGTTTTATTTATTAAAAAAATACAAAACTTCCAAAGTTTCCATAGGAAAGCAATATGAGCGTGCAATCCTGTCTCTTTCATATCCAGTTCAAATGCATGGTTCAGTCTGGTTAATAATACAAATAAAACGTGGAAACAAAAAGGAGAAGAGGAGAGGTCCAGTCGGCGTTTGAGTCCCTGCGATTCAAGTGTTAATCTTTAAGACTTTTTGCAAACAGGCGGTGTTTCTGCTACGGACATGCTGAGTGGATTCATGCAGACGGATCAACACGGACCTGCTTCATAAATTATAGTAAAAAACACGAGATGTTACGATCTTGAGGATTAACACTAGAACGGTTCTGCACAGAAGTGGAGATCTGGAAAATATAAATATTATAGCAGCCATTAGAGAAACTGAACCACACCAACTGTCTGAATGACCGCTGACATCACACAGATGGAGCAGGACTGTTCACCAAACCGGGTCATCAGGAATCTGTTAGATGGATCCCTATTAATACTTTAGAACAGCGCTGCCCCATCCTGCTCGGATCAGACAGCTCCAGTACGATTCAGCCTCATTTCATCAAAGGTCGACCCCCAGCTTTTAAACAGAACACAGAAATGTGTGCGGACACGTGTCCCTCTCGTTCTCCAGTCAAGTCGTTGGCCTTGAACATGTTACGGCTCGCTCCCTACCGATAAAATGCTAGCTCTAAGGAACATTGTGTTTCTCTGTGTGTTTAAACCACGTGAGCACAGCAAGGCTTAGTGGGCATCTCCAAGCTGCTCTCTCGGCCGCAGCACGCCACCACCTCGAACGGGGAAGAGTCCTCCGCAGGAGCTGGCAGGCCCCGGGAGCAGATCTGCTGCACATGTAGCCTAAAAACCCCAAAATCAATAAGATACATGTTAGGAACTGCTGTCCGACACCATTAATCAGACTCCGTGAGGAGGACTCACCAGGCGGGTCGGGACATGACGTAATGAATGTCGGGTCTTTGGAAGCCGTTGAATGTGGAGGACGCAGCTACGGTGTAGGCTCCCATGTTGTCAAACACCAGCCAGTCGCCCACCTGCAGGTCTGGCAGGGAACACTGCTCCACAATGCGGTCCAGACCGTCGCATGTCGGGCCCCAGATGCTGCAGGGGTACAGGGCCTCATCTGGCTTCGGCTTCTGTTGTAAATCAGAACATTATTTTTGTGTTTTTGACCCAGATCCACTAAGAGAAGCTTGTGAATTTCACAAACCTTATGCAGCGTAGGCAAACAGTGGGCGTGGTCATAAAAGATGCAATTAAAGGATCCGTAGACGCCATCGTTGACGTAGTACATCAGAGTCCTGTCGCTGGTTCCTTCGTCTTCCTCTGCAAAAAAAAAAAAAAGCTTTTAATTAAATGGAGCTTATATGATAAATATCTTCTTACACAGTATTTCAATCAATGCCGTTACCGTCAGAGGCTGACTCGTCATCCATAATGACCTTCTTGGCGATGATGTTCACCACCAACGTGTAGGCAGACGCAACATAGAAGCGTCCCGGCTCAGCGATGATTCTCACACCGGCGTCAGCGGGAAAGTACTTATCGAGGGCCGGGTTGATCACAGCTGCGATCTAAATGCAGAATTCACCGTTCAGCGAATGCAGAAATCACACTAAACCAATTATCTGGACAAATTCTTGTAATTCCGTTGCTAACAAACTTTTGTTACCTCTTCAAATTTCAGTTCGGTGTCATCAGAACCAGGGAAACCACCTCCGATGTCCAGAAGGTCCATCTCAAAGCCCAGCTCCTCCTGCACATCAGAGTTACGGTACAGTTTTCCTTTTTTAACCGTGATCACTCACATCTGCATGCAGGGTTTAGCCGCAACTCACCCCCATGTCAAAGACGCAGCGAGCATCTGCAATGGCTTTGGTGTAGGTCTCCGCATCGGTGCAGCCGCTCCCGACATGAAAACTGACACCGATCACGTCCAGCCCCAGTTCCTTGGCTCGCTCCAAAAGACCTCGGCAAGCTTTCAGAGTGGCCCCAAACTTGACGCTCAGACGGCAAACTGCCTTTGAGTCGTCGGTAGCGATGCGCAACACAAGCCTGGACACGAGACGGGAGGGTTAACAGAAAAGTCAAAAGCTGTAAAAATGGACCTAATCAACACCTAAATGCTGAAAGTCTTACTTGGCATTGTCGTGGCAACGGGCCACTTTCATGAGCTCCACTTCACTGTCAAAGGTCATCATCTGGACCCCGTGTGACGACGCATACTTGATCTGAGAAACCTGCTTGCAGGGGTTGGCATAAATAATTCTGCTCGGGTCGACACCCAAAGACTGGACCAGCTGAATCTCCATCTGGAGGGAGACAAAACAAACGGTCAGCCAAGAACTCCTAAATGCGTCTGTGCAGTTTTCCAGTAAGAGCTTTAGGGGAAATGTTCCAATAAAAAGCACCTTGCTTGCACAGTCGAAGCCGGTTCCCAGAGATGCCAGAGTCATGACTACCGCCTGGCTGTCGTTGCACTTGACAGCATAGAAGGGAGTAACGCGAGGCAGCGCCCTCACCCAGCGAAGGTGTTTCTTTAAGACGTCCCCCAGGTCACAGACATAGAAAGCATCCCTGTCGTCCTGTCATGTAGATGAAAACAATGAGAAAGTTTAGTTTGCATCCTGCTGCTTGTCTTAAAATAAAAATAAATGTTGACAACTATGAAGTAAACATTCCAGCACAGGATGCTCACCGTCAGGGATGACTCGTTGATTTTTTGGTCAACAATATCCCGAGCAGAGAAACCCTCTTCAAGGAAGGAGAAGTCAAGATCCGTTGGTGTGGCTGGATTCATCTTGTTAACTTGTTTAGCTAAATCAAAGGTAAACTGGAGGAAGAAAAGGGGAAAAAACTGTTAAACATGCAGCCTCTAAGTGCCTTCTGGACTATTGATCATGTAAATCCCCCAAGCATGAGATAAAAGCCACCTACAGTCCAAAGACGAGTCATTCCCAAAGCATTTGGGATAACAAAGACACTTACTTGGATCTGAAAGAGACAAAATGTGGAGCTGTTGGGACTCAGGTGCAATGAGGCCAAGGTGGCTCACCGGTGAAATTAAACCCCTTCAGGTAGGACTCAAGGCCAGGGCCTGCTGAGCAGCTGGAGTGCGATTTCCTTGTGTGAGGATTCTTAAAAAACATAAAAGTAGAACATATTATCAAATCTTACATGGTTATTACATCATAAGTAGACCATATTATCAAATCTTACATGGTTATTACATCATAAGTAGACCATATTATCAAATCTTACATGGTTATTGCATCATTACCTGCAAAAACGTTATTACATATGTAATGCTAGACTGATGTGGCGCTTCGTGCTTCAGGTTACTGGTCTCTTTGTGAGAATCAAGACTATCCAGACATCCATTTACGTTTATTAACGACATTCCCTTTTATAAATGTCACGAGAATTTGACACCAAAAGTCATGTAATAAGCCCATCATCTAAGCACCGCCCAACTCCCCATTTTACCAAATCAGAAACGGGTCCGCCTTCAACTCGAGAGACTGAGCGAGCGTTGACGAATCAGCGGCTAGGATTTCACTGACGTCAAATACCGGTTCCGCTTGGAGCGCTTTCATGCCATGAGGCGACGTTCATTGAATTTCGGTATATTTAAACAAAAGTAATCGAAACTGGCAATTTTATAAGCGATCCGTGAATAAAATCTAACTAAACAGATATATTGCCCATGAAACGCTTGAAAGTGCGGGATAGCGTCTCGCTAGCTACTTCACAGCTGTAACAAAGACGTTAGCTTCGAGTCAAGCCGGCCACGTAGTAGTTCTGTATCATTTTAAAGCCGCTAAATCTACCACTAAACAGAAGTATGACGTAGGAAACGCACCAAAAACAAAACGATGCCTACCTTAAAAAGCATTTACAAAGAGTTTGTCCATTAGACCAGAGAGATGGGTTTTAAAAAGCAGGTCCCCTTCCCGGCGACGCGCGCTGCTGGAGGTGTTACTGCCAGTGAAGCCGGCGGAGGAGCCTCCGAGTATTTATGGAGGAGCCGTTACCACAGCAACGCAGCCAGCTGAAACCGGCCTCCCATCCACGTAGGAACCGGTTTAGGCTTGTCACCGCATCCACATGGTGGGATATAAAGAGACTCCACTACTGCTGGGAATTAAGGGAACAGGAGGGCCAAACGTCACCGTTACACGTCAGATTGTTTTAGTTTAAGACATAAAACACCACTATTTAGCTTTTTATAATTATTCAGCAGATTTCCCCCCTCAATACTTCAAATAACCAGTATTTTCATAGCCAGCAGTAGTTCTGAAGGCCTTTTAAAGTCTTTTATCACTATTATTATTACATTTAAATTCTTGTTTTGTCAAATCTGACTCAGCAAAGTCAACTGAACCAAACTGGACAATACTTCAATAATCCCAGCGGGATATTCCAAGCAAACAAATCGTTTTTGACTTTGGAGTTGAGACTTTGTTATTCACAAAGATATTTCAACACAGCTGTTTATCACTTCTGGAGTCACTGAGTCATTTCGACCGCTGTACAAGTTAATAAAAGCTCAATAAAAATCAAATCAGCATTCTAACTTTAAATACCTTTTAGAAAGAGTTGAGAAATGTCCCTAAAAATCACTTAAACATTACATGACGAGGGAATTGGGGAATTATTAACGAGTGTACAAAAGCAACTTAAAGGTCAAAATATAAAACCCAGAGACGAGAAAGAACTAGAGCTAAAGCTCCAGCAGAAGCAAAAAAAACGGAGAACATTACACAATTCAAGGATAACAGATGGAAGTCTGGAAAAGTCGATGAAAACATGTTCTTTAATACGTACGTTCAGTTCAGCACGCTGCTCCTGGCCCAGCCACACAGCTTTCCTGTCACACCTCAGCTGATTTTATTCCACAACGGTGATCCTGCTGTTGCTGCTTCATCCTTGTCATCATCCACATCTGGAGATGCTGGGGCTCCCCTGACCTCCCCTTCCTACTGTCTGCCAGAAAAAGGCTGCAGGTCCAGATGATGTCGGTAACCCTAATCCTGAATGAGTTCATCATTAAAGCTGAAGATACCGTGACACATCTGCGTCCACAACATCTGGACAAAGTGGGCAGTACGGTGAGGATTGTGAACTTTGATTTCTCCAATGCATTTATATTAGACGCCACAGAACACAGGTGGACTCTCCTGCAGTCACGAGGATTAGCTCATTTGTATAGTGGCTTCCAAGATAAAAAAAAAAAAGGATCTAAAATTTAAGAGACAGAAACAGCAGTAGGAAAAGAAGCCAACGAGCAAGCAGCATATCTACAGGAGGTCCCACCAAAGCCAGCTTGAACAAGTGAGTCTTCAGCTGCTTTTTAAAGGAGACCACTGAGTCCACTGATCTCAGGCTCAGGGGGAGAGAGGTCCAGAGTCTGGGGGCCACAGCAGCAGATGATCTGTCACCTTTGACCTTTAGCCTGGTGCTGCACAACCTGTAGGCTTTGATCACTGGACCTCAAGGACCTGCTGGAGGTGTAGGGACTGAGAAGATCACCAATGTAAGATGGTGCTTGTCCATGTAAGGCCCTATAGACCAGAACCAGGATCTTGAAATGAACCCTGAAGTTGACTGGCAGCCAGTGAAGCTGGAGGAGAAGCGGGGTGACGTGGTGTGGGTGTGTTTGGAGGACTTGGTTACCAGAACTACCCGTAACTGATCTAAGGACATTTTACTTAGACGAGTGAAGAGCCCGTTGCAGTAGTACAAACAAGACGAAATGAAAGAGTAAAAAGGTTTCCAGATCAGAGCATCACACAACGGGACTCCATTAGCTCGGTCCCCTTTAAGGAGCCTGCACCACTTTTGTGTTAATCCCAGAGGTGTCCAGTCAGGCCGGGCGACCTGAAACAATCTGCTGGCTCTACCCGACAGCAAAGTCTCAGTGATGTGACCCGACGTGGCAGCAGTTTGCTCCATGCCTCTGAGCTGCAGACCTGCCTGATGAGATTAAAGAAGGTCACAAGGCATTGCCACCAGCTCATTCAGATCCTCTGATCAGGGAAATATGGTTGTCACGGTTGTGAAGGTGCATCTGTGCTCTTTTATTCTAAACGTGAGAACATTTTAGTGGCTCAACAGTCTTTGTTGTGTGATTTCTGTCTTAGTGGACCCTGATGCCCTCACAGATGGTGGCCTCTCACCAAGAACAGCCTGGGCGGTCTTTGCCTCGTGGCCAAAGTAGGCTTTAAATGTATTTTTAAAAACTCTCCAACCAGCCTTTGGAAACGGGATTCATTTATATATGTAGTTGATGCCCTCATCCACAATATTTCCTGTAAATGTGACACATTTTCCAGAGTTCATGTACAGTTAAATGCTTTCCATGAATAAAACGTCACACGCTGATGTAAGCTAGGCAGAGAGCAGCAGCAGGAGAACGGCAGTGAAATGTTTTTCTTAACCAAACACCAGACATTTCCTCCACCACACAATCTAATCAGTCCAAAAGATGCTGCTGCTAGACATCTGGTCTGCTAGCAGACGTTACCAAATGGAGGAAAATGGTTGGTTTGACCCGAACACATGTGGAAATGCTGCTTCGAGGAGGAAGCAGCGGGGCCACATCTGTGGGCTTAATATTTTTTCCAGGTCTTGAAGCCACAATAAAGATTTCCACTTGGATGTATGGAAGTGTTGGTGAATTAAGTCATTCTTACCAATGACCTAAAACTAAAAACGGGCATTTTTATAATAGCAGTGACATAATCTGTGATTTTGCTTCTGCCCCTGCAGGAATCCTCAAAGAACCTCTGAAGACGAATCGCTTCCCAACGCCTCTCCCTCATCACAAGATAAGTTTCCAGTTCCGCCCTTCACCCGTTTCCCTCCGGGTTGGTTTATCAGGACTATTGTGGCCTGACTCCTACGTTTGCAAGGCCTTCCTAGCACACAAGCGTCCTGATTGTTGTTGAACTTCTTCGGGGGCCTTGACGGTGATGCTGCTGTTTCTGTTTATCAGATCTTGGCTAGCGTCTCCTAGCCAGCTCGTGCGATCCAGATCCGAGCGCGTGACGAGTCTCGCTGGCTGTTGAAAAAATTCTTTTATAGCTTTTAAAACAAATTGCATGAAAAGCCTCTCGAGTGAATGGAGAGCAGTCTGCAGGATCACTTCTGTGTCCATGTTTAGATGATTTTGTGAAATTTTAACATCCTGTCGTCAGCTTTCGTAAGATGCAACAGTATAAAGAACACATCCGCGGTGACGCCACATCCTGTCAGGAGTTATCTGAACACTGGAGTGCTGATGATCGTGTAGAATGGTGGTTTGGCAGATGTTTGGGGGTCAAAGGTCAAACTGTTTGAACTTTTCTCAAAATTCTGAATCTTTTATAATTAAAGTCCATCTCTTTGCAGCGTGGCATTCATAATTATGCCTTTTGCTTATTTTCTACTCATAAACCGGTATAGAAACGTCAGCTCGCACCCAGCCCTGATGCGTCAGCACACCAAGTTTTCTCTAACATCTTCTCGTAAGACGAGAAATATTTGCTTTCTTTGAAACCGTTCCGTGACTTGAATGCACTTGCAGGCTCGTTGCATAACAGTAAATTAAACAATCGCATCCTAACTGGTTCTTGTCGAGTTTCCAGCCACTGATTCAACAGTTGCTCCAGGCTGACTAACGCCGCCAGCGCGGTGTCGGAGGTGAAGGATTACAGGTGCCAACGAGCAGAATCCATGACGGCTTGACCTCGTTTAAAACATTTCTCCCTGACCCAGACGGATACCGATGTGCGGCTCCTTCAAACGGACGCTGCTGCAGCCTGACGGCTTGCTAGAGTTTGGACCGTCGCGTCACTTCTTTGTGGCGTGTCCTGGTCATGGAGAAGAAACGTGTTGCTGCAAACTGCACAATAATTCAGTCATGAATCACAAAAGAATTCAACAACAACAAAAAGGGTAAGGCAGCACATTTCCCCTGAGTCCCGACTGGTGTTACTTGTAATTTAGGTTTGGCAGTGGTGTCAGGCATGTTGCCACAAAACCCTTTTTGCTCGTCTGCACAATCCGTGCTTATCCTCATGCTACCTTTAACTGCCTAATCTGGTGATTTTGTGCAGCATTTGGTTTTAAAATGATCTCAAATATAAATGACTAATAAAACGTGACCTATAGGCTGCTCCGACACATTTAATCGGACTCTTTGCTGATTCATCATCTCCTCTTTCAGAGGTCCGAGCTCGCGGCCGTGTGGAGATGAGGACAAAAAAAAGTAGGTGACCGTATTTTCACTGGATCATCTTTTGTGTGTTTGGCCTGACGCTCAGAGAGAAGGCTGCATCAGCACATTTTACTCATTTGATCCATTTGCAGGGAACAGATTGAGGAGGGAGACGGCCTGGCGGTCGACTGTGAGGTGTCAGTCAGGATTCTGTACTTTCAGAAGAAAAGACCAAAAGGCTCAACTAAAAATGTGCCTTTTTCTTCTCAAGCCTGTAAAGTTGCAGCAAGCTGATTATTTTGTGTTTCAGAGCTGAGCAGGGGAACAAGACTGGATCATCTGTCGTCGTCGTCTTCCTCCGCTTATCCGGGTCCGGGTCGCGGGGGCAGCATCCCAACTAGGGAGCTCCAGGCCGTCCTCTCCCCGGCCTTGTCCACCAGCTCCTCCGGCAGGACCCCAAGGCGTTCCCGGACCAGATTGGAGATGTAACCTCTCCAACGTGTCCTGGGTCGACCCGGGGGCCTTCTGCCGGCAGGACATGCCCGAAACACCTCCCCGGGGAGGCGTCCAGGAGGCATCCTGACCAGATGCCCAAACCACCTCAACTGGCTCCTTTCGATCCGGAGGAGCAGCGGTTCTACTCCGAGTCCCTCCCGAATGTCCGAGCTGCTCACCCTATCTCTAAGGCTGAGCCCGGCCACCCTACGGAGGAAACTCATTTCGGCCGCTTGTATCCGCGATCTCGTTCTTTCGGTCATTACCCAAAGCTCATGACCATAGGTGAGGATTGGGACGTAGATGGACCGGTAAATCGAGAGCCTGGCTTTCTGGCTCAGCTCCCTCTTCCCCACGACAGATCGGCTCAGCGTCCGCATGACTGCAGACGCTGAGCCGATCCGCCTGTCGATCTCCCGATCCCTCCTACCCTCACTCGTGAACAAGACCCCGAGATACTTAAACTCCTCCGCTTGAGGTAGGACCTCTCCCCCGACCCGGAGGTGGCAAGCCACCCTTTTCCGGTCGAGAACCATGGTCTCAGATTTGGAGGTGCTGATCCTCATCCCAGCCGCTTCACACTCGGCCGCGAACCTACCCAGCAAGAGCTGAAGGTCAGAGCTGGATGAAGCTAGGAGGACCACATCATCCGCAAAAAGCAGAGACGAGATTCTCCTGCCACCAAACTCGACACACTCCACACCACGGCTGCGCCTAGAAATTCTGTCCATAAAAGTGATGAACAGAACCGGTGACAAAGGGCAGCCCTGGCGGAGTCCAACCCTCACTGGGAACAGGTCCGACTTACTACCGGCTATGCGGACCAAACTCACGCTCCTCTGGTAAAGGGACTGAATGGCCCTTAACAGAAAGCCACCCACCCCATACTCCTGGAGCGTCCCCCACAGGGTGCCCCTGGGGACACGGTCATAAGCCTTCTCCAAATCCACAAAGCACATGTTGATTGGTTGGGCAGACTCCCATGCCCCCTCCATCACCCTTGCAAGGGTATAGAGCTGGTCCACAGTTCCACGGCCAGGACGAAAACCACATTGCTCCTCCTCTATCTGAGATTCAACTATCGATCGGACCCTCCTCTCCAGTACCTTGGAGTAGACCTTTCCAGGGAGGCTGAGGAGTGTGATCCCCCTATAGTTGGAACACACCCTCAGGTCACCCTTCTTAAAGATGGGGACCACCACCCCGGTCTGCCACTCCACAGGAACTGCTCCAATGACCACTCAATGTTGCAGAGACGTGTCAACCACGACAGCCCTACAACATCCATAGCCTTGAGATACCCAGGACGAACCTCATCCGCCCCCGGGGCTCCGCCGCTGTGTTGTTTGACTACCTCAGCAACTTCTGCCCCTGAGATTGGACAGTCCATCCCCAGGCCTCCCAGCTCTGGTTCCTCCTCGGAATTCGCATTGGTGGGATTGAGGAGCTCCTCAAAGTATTCCTTCCACCGTCCGACTATAGCCTCAGTTGACGTCAGCAGCTCCCCATCCCCACTGTAAACAGTGTGAGCGAGTTGCTGCCTTCCTCTCCTGAGGCGCCGGACAGTTTGCCAGAACCTCTTTGGAGCCGATCGATAGTCTTTCTCCATGGCCTCACCAAACTCCTCCCACGCCCGAGATTTTGCCTCGGCAACTGCCACTGCTGCACCCCGCTTGGCTATCCGGTACCTGTCTGCTGCCTCCGGAGACCCACAGACCAGCCACGCCCTGTAGGCCTCCTTCTTCAGCCTGACGGCTCCCCGAACCTCTGGTGTCCACCAGCGGGTACGGGGGTGCCACCACGACTGGCACCGGCCACCTTACGACCACAGCTAGCAACAGCCGCCTCGACAATCGCAGAGTGGAACAAGGCCCACTCGGACTCAATGTCCCCCACTGCTCTCGGGACGTGGTCAAAGCTCTGCCGGAGGTGGGAGTTGAAGACCGTCTTGACAGGTTCTTCTGCCAGGCGTTACCAGCAGACCCTCACTATGCGTTTGGGTCTGCCAGGTCTATGTGGCAAGTTCCCTTGCCATCTGATCCAACTCACCACCAGGTGGTGATCAGTTGACAGCACCGCTCCTCTCTTCACTCGGGTGTCCAAAACATACGGCCGCAGGTCAGATGATATGACTACAAAATCTATCATCGACCTGTGACCTAGGCTGCCCTGGTACCAAGTGTACCGGTGGGCATCCTTATGTTCAAACATGGTGTTCGTTATGGCCAAACTGCGGCTTGCACAGAAGTCCAATAACAAAAACCGCTCGAGTTCAGATTAGGTGGGCCGTTCCTCCCAATCACACCCCTCCAGGTCAAGCTGTCATTTCCCACGTGAGCATTGAAGTCCCCCAGCAGGACAATGGAGTCCCCTGATGGAGCACTATCTAGCACTCGTCCCAGGGACTCCAAAAAGGGTGGGTACTCTGAACTGATATTTGGCCCATAAGCACAAACAACAGTCAGAACCCGTTCCCCGACCCGAAGGCGCAAGGAAGCTACCCTCTCGTCCCCCGGGGTAAACCCCAACACACAGGCAGAGTCTTGGGGCTAACAAAAAGCCAACCCCAGCCCTCCGCCTCTCACCCGGAGCAACTCCAGCAAAGTAGAGTGTCCAACCCCTCTCCAGGTCTCGGGTTCCAGAGCCAATGCTATGTGTCGAGGTGAGTCCGACTATATCTAGCCGGTACCGCTCAACCTCTGCCACAAGCTCCGGCTACTTCCCCGCCAGCGAGGTGACGTTCCATGTCCCAAAAACTAGTTTTCTTGTCCGGGGATTGGATCATCTGCTTTCACCTAATCCTCACCGGACGCCTAAAGGTGGGAGATGTTTGTCCCACGGTTAATTTACGACTAACGAATCCCTGGATGTAAACCCACAGCTGACTTCACTCAAATGTAGAAAACACAAATCAGTCTGTTATGCAGATGCTGAGCTTAGACTTGAGGTCGCAGTAGCTTCAAGTAATCCTCATTTTATACTCTGAACATGAACTGGCGAGTGTGCGCATGTATTCAATATAAAAAGGACCATTTCTCAACATAAGATGCCTCTGAAAAAGTTAAAGTCCATTTTATTTATTTATTTTTTAACAGTTTATGGACTTTTCGGTATCTGTCCTGTTGCCTGGCTCCAGCGGGACAGGAGCTCTCCTCCTGTTTAAGCTCATTTTACTCTCGGCTGATTACTGTAAATGTTTTTCTACCGGATTGCATTTAAAACATTTCTGTTGAGGACACAGGTGGTCTCAGCTACTTCCTCTGTCCTAACGGTTGTGGTGACACTGAGCGATTACCTGCAACGTCATTTTGTTGCACAGAGAAACAAAGTCACTGACGTCTCGACGCACCTGAGGCTGCAGGGTTTTCCACCCAAACACATTAAAAAAACCATCTCAGGACGTCTTTAAAAGGCACATTGTTAGATTTTCAAGAACAAACAGCAAAAACGTCTGTTTTGTACCAAATATATTTGTTCAACTGATCCAACAAGATAAAACATTTATCTTCCTCTCTCGGTGGAAAGACTCGGCTGCAGTATGACGTTTGTACAGAGGGCAGATCTAAACCAGCTGCTTGGAGGTCTTTGCTGTGAGTTCATGTTCAGGTTCACGTCTGATCTCTCCCTTCAGTAGTGACCTCTCCCCCTCCCCCTCCCCCCCCGGCCTCTCCCCCGGCTGCTGCTCAAGTGTCCGGCCGCTCGGCGCAGCTTCTTCCTCTCCTCGCGGTGTTCCCGCTCCGCCTGCTGCTGCTTCCTCTGCTGCTCCGACTGAAAAGAAAAGCAGAATTCCTGTTCATACAGCTGACTCACACAACTCTCATTTCTGTCTCGTAGTGCTCTGTTGGATTCCCAGAAGCCACTTCACCTCAGCTGTGATTCACGGCAGGTTTTTGTGGTCGTTTCAAACTGAAACGTTTACAGGTGCAACAGCAGCGTACACGCAGAAGTACCTTTCTGAGAGTGAAGGTCAGCTGTTTGCTGCCCACGGCCGTGTCGACGGCGCTGTTGATTCCAGAGCTTTCCTCCATCTTCAGCCGGTCCTCCAGAGACGCCCTGAGAACAAACACAACACTTACTCTGTCCCTGTGAGGGCGACGGCTTCTACTCTGTCTTCAGGAGTAAAACGTACTTCTGTAGTTTCTGTTTATGGGCCACGTCCTTAAAACTTCGGAACTCCTCTCCAGGTTTGAGCTGATAAAACTGCGGCTGACTCGTCTTCTCTTGGCTCTGTCCCCGGTCCAGCAGGACGGTGTCTCGGTCGGCGTCCTTCCTCTCCTGCCGACGCCGGTCTCTGTTCTCCTGCCGCAGTAACCTCCTCTGCTCCCTCACCTCTTCCACCCAGCTCTTGTCGTCGTCGGAGCTCTCCTCCTCGGAGCTGGCTTTGCCCTCCGGCTCTTCGTCTTCTGCCGCCTGAAGAGAAACGAGGAGCAGAATGACGTCTCCCGTTCAGAATAACAAACAGGAGAGCAGCAGCAACCGGTTACCTGTTGGGAGGCGGCGTCCTGCTGAGCCAGCAGACGCAGCTTCTTCTTCCTCTTTAGTCCCACCTTGGAGACGATGGGGTTGAGCAGCCGGAACTCCTCGCTCTGCTCGTCCACTTGGAAGTCTGGATTCTCGAACATCACCTTGAATCGATCGTCTCCCAGGATGCTCGGGAGCGCCTGCAGTCGTGGAAGAGAGAAACGTGTGAAAGTGTTTCCTGCTACATCTTACAGCTAAAGCACAGACGCATGACTAAAGCGTAACAGGAACGTTTCTGTATTCTTTCAGAATGAATCAAACGGAACCGATTTCTCCTGTGACATAACCTAAAAGCTGTGCAGACACACATTCCGTAGCCTGAGGGGAGAACTGAACCTTCCCGCGGCCGTGCGGGCATCTGCATCATAAAGCGTGAATGACGCAAGCGGCAGCATTCAGCCTGAATCATCCCTGAATTAACCGAGCTCGATGCCGAGCGACGCCCAAAAGAAAACGGTGAAGGGAGGAGAGCTGAGCCCGTTTCCTACCTTGCCCTTCTTTTTCCTCGGAGCCTCCTCGGCTTCATCGTCACCCTCCTCCATCAGCTTCAGAGCCAGGTCCTTGTTCACCTTTGGCAGCTTCTGTCTCGATCAAAACAAACAAACAAACGGTGATGAAATCAGCCTCCAAACACACATGTGGTAAAGCATTTGATCCGTTTTGAAATCAAGGATGTGAGGAAAGTTTGGTTTTCACGTGTTGAAAAGCTCAGCTGGAGAAACCAGAATAATCCAGTTTGAAGCAGCTAAAACTATCAGTTCGATTTGATGAAACTGATCAGATTAAGACTTTAGGAAAGCCGAGAGTTCGCACCTTAACCTGAACCCTCTGCGTCCGGGACTCCTCGATCTTCTGACGGATCTTCTCCTTGCGGTATTCCTCGTACGCAAAAGGATTGGCCATGCTTTTCACCTGCAGCAGAACCAAACAGCACAAACCCTTAGGTCCGGTTTTTACAGGCTGAGCATCGAGGGTAAGGGGATTCAACCTTGTGATAAAGCCGTATATCCATGAAGAAGCCGTGCATGTAGGCTCGGAGCAGAGACGTTCCCACTAGGTGAGACAAACCTGGAAAAGGAAAGAGGACGTGAGCAGGACTCGTTAATAAACACCAGCTCAGTAGCCGAGCGGGTGCTGTGTCCCCCCCCCCCCCAGGTGATGGGTCAGACAACAAGGGTGCTTCATATGAGCGAACAGTCCGGACGACGTAAACGTGTTCGGTTTAGGGACCAAAACTTTTCTGGGGTTTAGAAAACGAGGGACCACTGGGTTCAGACATTTTGTGTTATTTATTGATGCTGATGTGGACACTGGGCTAGGGGGCGGAGCCTCTGGTGGTTCCAGAGGTTCGTGCGTTCAGAGTCTGACCCCGAATACTGAGCAGAAAGTTCAATGCCATTGTTGTTTCTGTGTGGCATCCAGGTCACCTGACGGTGTTTACTCACAAGTCGGTCTTCAGCTCGTAAACTGGTGCCGTGGACGGCGAGCGGCTTCGTTAAGCTGCTGCTTTTTCCATGTTTAGTGGGACAAATCTCATCCTAGAGGCTACATGTAGCCCTGTTGCTGTCAACCGCCACAAAACGAAGCCAAAACTTTGATGTTTTCAGGATTTTCTCAGTCAGCGATCTTAGACAAGGGTTGCTGTCATGTGACACGCAGGAACTGTGCAGCTCATCAACAGGGATGTTTGCCAGTTAGCACAGGAAAAGTTGATGTTTCCAGAACCAGAGCCACTGAATGACTTCAGTAATGAGGCAGAGTTGTCTGGACCCCATTCTGAAGCGCCGCTTTTATTGCCTCCCATCTGCAGCAACCAACTGTCTGAACTTGCAGAGGCAGTAGTCGCTGGCGTGCGAGTGAAAACATCTGAACATCTGATGAGTTCCTGCCTGCACACCTGAGACAGAACCAGCCGCAATGCGGAGCGACTTACTGGGAACTTCCATCGATACGCCGTACTCAGAAATCCCGGGCACGCTTATGTAAGAGGGTTACGTTACGAGGCTCCTGTAAACCAACACTGCCGTCCCTCAGGACCCCCCCCCCCCCCCCCCCCTGTATTCCACATAAGCCAACCAGCTCCTTGCTTTTCTGCCATTTGATCTCTTTACTGCTGAGCCTGCATTCCAGAGTTCACTCAACCCCGCTCAGACAGTCCGACCCCCTCAGCCCTCAGACTTGGATTCACCGTTTCAGGAAAATCGTTTGCTTTTTAAAGATAACAAGCGCGGTGTTTGCTTTGGGGGGCGGCGGCTTTGATCTGGAAGCTTTAGGATGTCTCACAGTTCAGCTCTCACCCAGGTTCTCCAGGTCCTTCCTGGTGACGAACTTGTAGTCGTCATACACGGCGCTCTCCGGGCTCTCCTCCAGCTCCTCCGTTAGGCTGTCAAGAAACGAGCACCATCGAGGAGCGGGTCCCAGAGCCTACACACACACACACACGCACACACACACACACAGTTTATCATATAAACCTACAACACTCATCCTCACTGAGGTACTTTATTACATCATTATGGAATATTTTACCTCCAAACTAGGACTGGGCAATACATCCAAAATTTATCGTTATGGAAATTTCCGACTCTCATCAAGATGATTTTCCCCACGCCAATAAATTTAATAAAAATGAAAAGATGTGTGTAGGATGGCAATGTTCATGTCGCTTTAAGAAGCTGTACCCCCTTCAGTCAACCTAATACACGTGACAGCTCCATCTAGTGGACAACTGTTGTTTCTGCGCACACCTGTAGTTATTGTCCATTTATCGTTATCCAGGTGAAATCCTCGATATATGGTGATATACTCCAAATATTACATTTAACTCATTCGCTGCCGGCGTTTCTCACCGTTTTTACAGTTTTTCTAAGAGTCACAGAACGTTGTGCGCTAGGATGATGTCGACGCCAAAATAACCAAAACAAAGCGGAGACTCACCTCTTACATCAGGAAGAATCCGCGGCCCAAAACGATCTCCTAACACATGGATGTTCTGCTTCCTGATCACGTGACGTGTGACGTACGCGGATGAAGATCGGCTTTAGAGCTGAGATGTTTTTTCTCACGGTGCGGGGGCTCGTCCGACGCCCACACAGTAAAAACATGCTAATGACTTTAGTTGTCACTGGCAGTGAACGAGTTAAAGACGCGTTTGTTTATTCTGGTTCATGAAATACTTTGGTCATATTTAATGCTTTAGTTTTTTTTATTTGGATTTTTTTTAACGCTTCAGTAGAATTTTGCCCTTAATCTGAAAAAGACTTTATAAAATAATTATTAGTCAGTTCTGATGACATTTTGAGTTGGTTTTCGTCGCCGAACCCAGAACGAATAAATCCTGGTAAATATCTAGAGACAGAGTTCCTAAAAGTACGAGGCGTATTTATCGGTAAACGGTCTGTATTTGATATAGCGCCATCTAGAGTCCTGGAACCCCCCAAGGCGCTTTACAACACGCGCACCGACACAGGCGAGGCTGCCGAGCGCAGGCGCCACCGGTTCCTCCGACCACCACCAGCAGGCAAGGTGGGTTAAGTGCCTTGCCCAAGGACACAACAACAACGACAGACTTAGCGGGGCTCGAACCTGCAACCTTGTGATTGCGGGGCGAGCTCTTAACTCCTGTGCCACCGTCGCCCACACGTATTCTAGATACATGAAGCGGGGTAAACTGAATCCAGGACAAAGATCTACTCGGTTTACTCGGGGAGTTTCTTCCTGGTTCGACCAACCAATCAGCTGACTCAGGATGATGTCACGTTGCCAAGGACAAAGCCAACACGACACGATGAAAACAAAAACACAAAAATAACTAAAGGTGAGTTTTTCTGCAGCAGATTTAGCCAGAAACTGAATATCGGCACTTGCCGCTTAAATGTACAACCGAGGAAAACCTCGTCCAGTCACGGTGAGCATCCCGTTCTTAAGGACTGGATCCAGATCCATCCACCAAAGTGTTTCCAGGAACTCCTACCCTACCTTTAATTACTCGGAAAAGTCAGATGAATCATGTGGATTTGAACTGAACAAACACATAAAGGTATAAATGAACGCAACAGTCTGACAGCCAATATTTACCGAATCACATAAACCAAAGGACCACACACGCAAGGCTAGTCCTGGTGCAACATTCAAGCTCAGAAACACAACATTTAGTGAACACTGCTTTCTGACTAAGCTGGAGGCCATTTTTACAGCTCCTCTTCATCTTTTTGGCAAATCTGCAAAACAACTTAGCTTCAAATGTTTTTCTTTCATGCCCTCAACAGGAAGTTGCAAAATAACGCAAGGTTCTCTCTCGTTGTCTAAAAACCGCCGCCAAGAACACGGGTCAGACCCAAATCAACCATCGGACCATCCGGTTGTGGGTCTCACCGAACCGCCGCACTTCCCTGGTCCTCCGCTCATCTCACACGCACGTATTCAGCACCAGAACACCACTGGTGCTAGAGGTTCTCCGCTCAGTAACACCAGAGCAGGAGAAACAGTCGGCTGCTACCGCTTCAGCTTTAGGAGACGCTGCCAGAGTGCCATTGGTTGGCATTTAGTGCTCACTGTAATTTGTCACACGTGAGCTAAATCGTGGCTTTAAAACGCAGCAGAAAACTCTTAAATCGAGCCTTCAGGACAGATTTGGCTCACGTGACAAATTAAAGTAACAAAAAATGGTCAAATTCACACCAAGATCAAGTTTTCACCTTCCAGCGGCGTCTAGGACAGAAGGTTCATCTTGAATCTAATGTCCTGGTTTACACAAAGCAAAGTCAAGTTTACTGTACACACACACACACACACACACTGGGAGATCAGGCTGGACTCCAGCACTGCTGACATTTCCAACAGTCTGATTTTCTAAGCCACCTTTCCTTTTTTGTGTCTGTTCCCTCCTCAACGCGTCCTTGTAGGAGCACAACTCCACCATCACACCTGATGTGCGATTCCCGCGCCACGAACTTCCCAGATCTGTCCCATATGAGCTCATCAGAGCGGGATGTGAGTGCATTGGTGTTTGGTACTCACTGGGATGTAGAACGTGTTCATTTTAGGGTCTTCGTTGGCGGTGAAGAGCATTCCTGTTTATGGGACACGCAGGAAAAATGTAAATATGTAAATAAACTAAATCTGCTCAGATAAAAGGGACAAAAAAGCCTTTAAATGCAAAATCAGAGAAAAGTTCCTTTTGCTTGTAAGCAGAGTCACGCTGCAGCAGAATACCGCCACCCAGTGGTGAGGAATAGAAACATCAACTAGATTTTAAAAACGCGACAGAACACTTCCTCACCTGAATCAGGATACATGCAAACATCGTTGATGTTGGTTTGAGGCTGAAGGGAGCAGAACTGCTTCCCCTGTGGTAGAAAACGTAATTAAATATGTCGTCATCATCAAAGAAGACAAACTTTAGCAAAATGTCTGCATGAAAACGTAGAAATAGAAAAGTTTCTCCAGAATTATTTTTACTACCAACTCATCAAAACGTAAACGAAACATTTGTCATCGTCGTCTTCCTCCGCTTATCCGGGTCGCGGGGGCAGCATCCCCACTAGGGAGCTCCAGACCGTCCTCCCCCCGGCCACCTCCACCAGCTCCTCCGGCAGGACCCCAAGGCGTTCCCGGACCAGATTGGAGATGTAACCTCTCCAACGTGTCCTGGGTCGACCCGGGGGCCTCCTGCCGGCAGGACATGCCCGAAACACCTCCCCAGGGAAGCGTCCAGGAGGCATCCTGACCAGATGCCTAAACCACCTCAACTGACTCCTTTCGATCAGGAGGAGCAGCGGTTCTACTCCGAGTCCCTCCCGAATGTCCGAGCTCCTCACCCTATCTCTAAGGCTGAGCCCAGCCACCCTACGGAGGAAACTCATTTCGGCCGCTTGTATCCGCGATCTCGTTCTTTCGGTCATTACCCAAAGCTCATGACCATAGGTGAGGATTGGGACGTAGATCGACCGGTAAATCGAGAGCCTGGCTTTCTGGCTCAGCTCCCTCTTCACCACGACAGATCGGCTCAGCGTCCGCATCACTGCAGACGCCGAACCAATCCGCCTTTCGATCTCCTGATCCCTCCTACCCTCACTCGTGAACAAGACCCCGAGATACTTAAACTCCTCCACTTGAGGTAGGACCTCTCCCCCGACCCGGAGCTGGCAAGCCACCCTTTTCTGGTCGAGAAAAATTTGTTCTTCCTTTAATTCCACTTGTTCTTTATTTAAAAACAAGACAGCAGTTTAGCAGAAGGTGGAGATTCGTCTGTAATTCTGTTGCTGATTTCTCAAAGGAAACAGATTAAAGCTAGAAACTAAACTCTGAAAATGGACAAACGTGATGAATGCAATCTACAAAACCCCGGCTGCAGATGCTACTCACGGTGTCTCTGTTCCACATCTTTATTATCTTGCAGTCAGCAGACACGATGAGGTCCAGCGGCTGGTGGAAGTTGAGGGATTTGATTGGCAGGTCGTAGAAGTGGTCTTTGACCAGCAGCGGTTCGCTGGAGCGTAGATCGTACAGCAGCACCTGGGACAGAAACAAACACACCTCCTGAGTCTGGGATCAGCATCGTTGCACAAGCGGAGCTGCAGCAGGACGTTTTGATGTGTTAAATGAAGCGTCGCAGGTTTTTTACGGTCCGGTCGGGCTCACCTGCCCTGTGCTGGTGCCTACCGCCATGCAGAGGGAGCCGTTGAACTTCAGCGCACTGATGGAAGGTAAACCCCGGACCCTGTCAGCAAAAACACAACCAGGAAGTCATCGAGTCAGCATCCATGCTGCTCAGTACCAGACCTGTGTGATGTCACTAGTTACTAAAGAACCAATCAGCTGGCAGAGCTGCTGGTGAACGCGTGAGCGTTCAGCTGCTGTTATTTATTTGTTGTTGTTTATAGAAACTAAATCTATCTGCAGGGCAGAGCTTTAGACCTCAGACCAAACCACATCCAGACCACAGAAATGAAATAAAATCAACATTAAAATAAAAAAATGATTCACATCGTTTCTTCATCAACCCTCTGGGGTCCAGGGTGTCATTTGCCGTTTTTGACTAATTTAGAGTTTTCCGTTGTATTTCCAAAATAAAATCCATAACCACGGCCTTATGTGGCATCAACCTTTTCAGCACAACCTGGACTTTATGAATTTATATTTATGTTTTATATTTGGACATAAATGGGTTGCATATTAGACCTTAAATCACTCAAAAACATCAAATCCGAAATGGAAAAAAGTTGTTTATTTTACTGTGAAACCAACAAACATTTATGACAGATGTGTTTTTTATCATTTAGAATGGTAATCTAGACTGTACATTTATAAAAATATGAATAAATATAGCAAATAACTTTATTTTTTATATTAGCCCTCTGCGGTCCAGAGTGTAAATCACCGTTTTTGACTCATTTTGGTTTTTCTTTTGTATTTTCTAATAAAAACAATAAACATTGCCTTATGGGGTATCATTATTTTCAGGACAACCTGGACTATCTGAATTTATACTTATTTTATTAATTTGGCAATAATGTACATGCATTTTGGAGTGGGGAGTGGCTCCGTCTCACGCCGCGGAGATCGAGATCTGACAGCTGTGCGGCGCCGCCCACTCCTCTTGTTGGATCTCCGAGGAGCTGCATCTCTGCCTTCATCCTCTACCTCATCATGACCCAACTCTTCTGTGAGGAAGGATGGATCTGCCACATCATCATCAACATCCTCGCTGTTTGCCTCAGACTCCGGCTGTGAGTCTCCGCCCACTTCCTCTGCTTCCAGTTAAAAACAGCCGTACTATGTGAACTGCCTGGTGGACATTTATCCTTCTCATCATCCTTTATATAAGCCTAATAAAAGCCTCCTAAACTGCAGAGACAACATATCTGTCCGGATCGCTCCAAAATATGAAGTTTATCGTCAATATCTGTCTAACTGTTTGTTGTTACTCCTTTCGCGCCACTCCTTCCCCCGCGAAGCGGCTCCTTTTTGCGCACATGTCGTTACTCGTTCGGCCTTCCTCTCTCTCTCAGCTACATAATGATGCTTTTTATCAGTTTTATTTATTAATATAACAAATTAAAAATTCAAATTTATAGAAATAAAGCAAAAGTTCAAAAATTCACCTCACATCATTTCAGTCTATACAAAATTTCCTGATTTTAGCAGCGTAAATCGGTATCGGCAAATATTGGTTATCGGCCACAACAGTAATATTAATATCGGCTTTCGGCATCAGCCCAGAAAAATTCGTATCGCTGCATCCCTACTTGATATTGTCCAGCGGAAACAGACATCTGCTTATTTCTAACATTCACGGACCGTTTCGCTGACATGAGAGCGAGGACGGGGAAAACAGCGCCCGGAACGTTTCGGTGTGGTGCGTCGGCCGTGGGGGGGTGTTGATTTCATAGCCGTGGCGCCACGCCTGAGCCTATGTAGGGGAAACACTGGGCTAGGATCAGTTGAGTTCTTACTCTGCTCCTTCGGTCAGGCTGCTCAGGGCGCAGTCCAGAAGGCCCACTCGGCTCCGGACACGAGGGTCCCAACATTCCACCTTTCCCTTGGGAAATAAAGAAAGAGACTGGCACTAATGGCCACCCTTAGCTCCTACAGTAAGCGCCGCTCAGCAGCTAATGTGCAGAGCAGGAAATAAACAAAGTTGTTAAAAAAACTAAAAAATAAAACCTAAATCGCTCACTTCTGTAAAAACAACTGTGGAGTTGAACGTTCCCTAAGCAGCGCTACATTTCAAAAGCATCCTGTGATGTCGCTTACCTCAGAGGTTCCTGTTGCAAACAAGTGATGAACGGGATTGATGTCGCACACGTTGTTCTCTCTGGTTAAGGAGGAAGGAAAAGGCAGAAGTCAAGAATAAAATCACATCATACGGCATCACAGAGTGAGAAAACACCTGAGCGGACGTACGCAGCGTCTGTCTGAAGGGAGTTCAGAAAGCGGCCCTGTTCCAGATTCAGCCTGTACACCTCAGAACTGAGTCAGAACAAACACTCGTGTCAAATAAACATGACAAGCGATTCGTGTTGAGATCAAACCACGAAGGATGCTCCAACCTCATGCCCACAAAGAAAAGGTCACAGGAAGGGTAGTGGTACGAAAAGTCCCGTCCAAACTTTGGAATACGAGTCTTGTAGTAGTGTCCGTGTTGGGAGTGGAACTCAACGTAGCGGTCGCAGTGCAAAAACACCAGCTGCACAAAAGCGGATTTAGGAGTTTTTACACAACGGGACGAAGATCAAACTCATCATTTTCACGTTCAGCGTGAAAGTCTCACCTTAGAGTAGTCGTCAGACAGAATGTCAAAGGCCACAACTGAAGAGGCCCAAAGGGGGAAGACATTAGTCATCAGGATAACAGAGGAACCCCAACCAAAGGACAAGTCCATCCACTTACCTTCTGAATCTAAACAACGCTCAAATTTCAGGGACAGCTGATAGGTGTCGTAACAACGAATTCTGGGTTTATAGGTTCCTAAAATAGAATAAAAATGTATTTAATACGCTCACCTGCAGGGATAAACTCCTCACTCTTAAAGGGAAGCTCGTCTTACCCGCTGCCAGGACAAACTGACCATCCCGGGACACTTTGATGGAGGTACACACCGTGGGCATCTCAAAGTCCTGGATGAGCTCAATCCGACGCTGAATGTCTGGAAATAAAGAAAACGCAGTTAGAACAGTAAAAGTTTCTGAATGAAACGATCGAATGTGATGAAGCTAAAGGTGTCGGCTTACCAACATCTTTCTTCTGCAGCTGTCTTTTCTTCCGGTCCGACAACCACTGGATTTACAGAACACAGACTGAGATTAGTCAGAATTATCTTTAGAACGCTGCTGCTGGAGTCCTAACAAGAACTAAGAGAACGGAGCACATCACTCCTGTTCCTAGATCTCTACACTGGTCACCAGTAAACTACAGAATAGACTACAAAGTGCTACTACTAGTTTATAAATCACTCAGTGGCATGGGGCCAAAATACATGTCCGATCTCATTCCTGTATGAACACCCAATAGGGCTCTGGGAAACAATCAGCTGGCAGAACCTCGGGTCAGAACCAAACAGGGTAGCGATGCTTTTAGCTACTATGCTGCTCACATATGGAATCAGCTCCCCCAGGACCTCAGACATGTGCCCCAACCCCAGTGTTGCTCACATGAAAACATAAACCCTAATGTGCTCATCAGCCTTTGAACGAACTGTTTTCTACGGATTTGATAATTGTCGTTTTCTATCACAATTGTCATCCTGAGCAAACTAAGCAGGTAACAGGTAAACAGTCGTGTCGGGAACAACACCTGCAGACTCCAAGCTACAAATAACCTACACGTTTTTATTAAATATGAAGGTTCTGCGTGACAAAGTTAGCTAAGAAAACTACATGTTATTTAAACGAGACTGATTCTGAAGTTTAAACGATTAAAAATTAAACCTGTTTTTAATTTAAATGCATTTGTTTCAGCCTGAAATTATCACAAATAAGCCACCAGCGGGTGATATTCAGTGTGCTAACCAAACATTAGCTCAAGTGGACTCAAAACTACAAAGTGACGTCAAATTTCACCAAACCGAATTTCTCACCTCGGGAAGAGATTTCCCGTAGCTTAAGTTATAAATTTTCACATCGTTGACATTTGATATCTGCATTTTAAGTATCGAAAGGCTTCTTGGCACTTCATCCACGTTGTTGAATCAAACCAAACACAGGAAGCCAAAGTGAGCTTCAGGAAATGGATCCGACTGGAAACCGCATCGACCGTCATAAACGTTCCGTCCTGTTTACAAACGTCTACGACATTAGTTTAAAACGGCATATATAGCAAAACTAACACATTTCAACGAGTATTATTGTTATGTAAATCGTGGTATCACATCAGAGTTTTTTTTATTTCTATTCTCTTATGTTTCTTTTACAGACTGCGACGTAAGAACAATTACTGTAATATCATCAAACTGCCACAAGAGGTCAACAGCAAGTGCCAGAAATCACGCAATGAGTGCGAGGCACACGCCTTTGACTGTCTGTGTTGAATGTCTTCACACGCTCTCACGTCGCAACACTAAAACGATCTAAATCTGTACACCTTATGCTACTGTACACATTCCCCTGGCCACAAGTTCAGCTTTAATTTACCTTACATGAGCAAAAAGGGGGGATTTACGCCCTCCAGTGGCAAAAAGCCTGAACTACACTCTGGTTCTGTTTTGAATGAAGCTAGAAAGCTTTTTTGTCTTCTTGTGAATATTAATGTTAAGCTGAAGAATGCCGAGAAGAAAGATGATAGGGAACTGCACATATAAAGTTACAATAGTAGAAACACTTCCTGAAAAAAGTTCAAAATAAAAGCTAGTGTTTTGGCAACAATTCTCCCTTTAAAGACTTTTTTTCTCTTCATTTAGCTAAAAACTCAGTTCAAATTATATTTATGTAATATTGTTATAACGATGGTTCGTTGTGCGCAGTGGCGGAATGGCCGTCAGGTAGTCTAGAAATCTAGACAGAGCCAGTGGACGGCGCAAATTCCATGGCAAAAAAAAAACCAAACAAACCCCCCCCCCCCCCCCCCAAATAAATAAATAAATAATAATATTTGGAAGTGTTTCTAGTTTCTACTAAGTAATTCTTAACTTTATAAATTCAGTTCCCTATTCTTCTCCTCCTCCTCCTTCTACTACTTTGAATATTCCCAAGAGGACAAAAAAACAGGTTAAGTTTTTGTTTTTTAGCTTCAGGAGCCTGAATATTCTCTTCTAAATGTCTAAAAAGGAAGGTTTAGTACCAGCTTTAAAAACACTGGAGGGCAGCAACTTCCCATCTTAAATTATAATTTCAATGCTTTTAGAAACTAGAGTGGTGTTCTGTTATTTGCCAGCAGAGGGCGCAAATTCTCCTTTCTTTCAAGACGTCAAAAGTGTTTGGAAGAATTGAAGTGTTTCTTATAAGTAGCTTTTACATTTATACAGTTACCTCTCCTCCTCCTCCGCAATATTCCCAAGAGGACAAAAATAAGGACTAGGATTTTTTTAAAGCTTCATTAAGATAAGAAAGCTAAAATATTGTGGATAAAATGGATAAAACCATGTAGTACCAGGTTTCAGACACTGGAGGGCAGCAACTCCCACCATACATTGTTTTTAACATCTTTGGTGTGTTCAAAAATTTTTTTGGAGTGTTCTTATTGTGTTTAGTTTCTAATTCCATTTTTGGTTCTTTTTAAAACACAGGGAAGGTTTTTCCTTTACCTTGCTAACGTTTCGTTTGCCGACTGCTAAACATCCTCAGAGTTGACACACTCTTATGAGGATGTTTAGCAGTCGGCAAACGAAACGTTAGCAAGATAAAGGAAAAACCTTCCCTGTGTTTTAAAAAGAACCAAAAATGGAAATACATAGTTTTTGCCAGCAGAGGGCGTAAATTCCCCATTCTTTTAAGGCATCAACAGTGTTTGAAAGTATTTAGAAGTTTTTCTGCTAAGTAAATCTTTTTCATTTATAAATCAATGTTCCTCTTCTCATCCTTAGTGTTAATATTCCCAAGAGGACAAAAAGATAGGTCAAGATTTACTGTAAGCTTCAAGAGTTTAAATGTTCTCTTCTAAATGGCTAAAAAGAACAAAGAAACTAAAGAGTGGTAACTCCCCACCTTCCCTTCTATTCTAAATAAAGTTTCTAATCAAGCATGTCAGATTAAAAAAACATTAAGTGTTAGTTAAAAGACAAACGGAGCTGTTCCAGGGCCAACAGCACAGTTCTGCATCCCTCCATCAAGCGAAGCAGGAGTCGGTGCTATCCGTGGTGCTGAAGTTAAAGACCAAGTCACCCCCTACAAGAAACTTACTTCACTCCCTCTTCTTGTTTGAAAAATGCAACAAATGCTGTTGCCTAGCAGACCGAGAGGGCGGAGCCACTAACAAATACACACACACAGGCTCACAACAGCACTGTGACATCATAATGTACCAGTTTACATCATAGCATACCTCTTAGCCAATAGCGGTGGCAGATTTAAATTCAAATGCAGTGCAGAGTTTTTACCCGACAACGGCACAACACTGCCAGTTTTAGGCAGAATATTTAAATTTTAACTAAGATGCACTGAAGTACCAAATTATTGACGACACGTGTCTGCAGCACAATTAGACACACATTTATGTAGTTTATCAGCAAAAAAAAAGTTGATTTGGGGGTGACTTGCTCTTCAAGAAACGGCTCCTGGGACTGAGAGGCAGCAGCGGCAACACATCGATAAACATTGGTTTCTTTTTAAATGGTCCATATTTTGTTTTCAACAAGAAAAGCATGGATTTGGGGGATTCTACAATGAATGTATAAATTACTCAAAACAGTAAAATAAAAACCAAATAAAAACTATTTGGTTAAAAATCTACTGAAAAACTGAAGTAAACATTTGATCACAACAGCTGATTTAATCTGATAAACCTGTTTAATCAGAAACATTTAAATTGCATAAAAAGTAATTACATGGCTTAAACGGCAAAAATGAAGATATATGTTTATTTTAATAGCAAATTAAGGTAGAAGAAACACATTTCCAAACATTACAATAGATAATAGCAGTCCAGCATAAATACAGACCATAATAAATAGATGTTCTGTAAGAACTGGCCACACTTTATCTTTTAATGCAACATAACGGTTCTGCAATGAAATAAAAAAGCCTTTTCCTTATTTTATCAACTTCTTTGATTTTGGCCATAATGAACTGGGTCACATAAATCTGAGACCATGGTCTTGATTCGGAAGAGGGTAGAACGCCTTCTCCGGGTCAGGGATGAGGTCCTGCCCCAAGTGGAGGAGTTTAAGTATCTCGGGGTCTTGTTCACGAGTGAGGGAAAACTGGAGCGTGAGATCGATAGGCGGATTGGTGCTGCGTCTGCAGTGATGCGGGCGTTGTGCCGGTCTGTCGTGGTGAAGAGAGAGCTGAGTCAGAAGGTGAAGCTCTCGATTTACCGGTCGATCTACGTTCCTACCCTCACCTATGGTCATGAGCTTTGGGTAGTGACCGAAAGAACGAGATCGTGGAAACAAGCGGCTGAAATGAGGTTTCTCCGAAGAGTGGCTGGGCTCTCCCTTAGAGATAGGGTGAGAAGCTCGGTCATCCAGGAGGGGCTCGGAGTAGACCCGCTGCTCCTCCACATCGAGAGGAGCCAGTTGAGGTGGCTCGGGCATCTGGTCAGGATGCCTCCTGGACGCCTCCCTGGTGAGGTTTTCTGGACACGTCAAACCGGGAGGAGACCTAAAGGTAGACCCAGGACACGCTGGAGGGACTATGTCTCTCACCTGGCCAGGGAACACCTTGGGATTCCCCCGGAGGAGCCGGCCCAAGTGGCTGGGGAGAGGGAAGTCTGGGCCTCTCGACTTAGGCTACTGCCCCCGCGACCCGACTCCGGATAAGCGGATGAAAATGGATGGATGGATGAATTCACACACACACATATATATATATATATATATATATATATATATATATATATATATATATATAACCTTTATTCAATATTTTACTTATTACATGTGATGAATCATTAAAATATGTGACTCACAATAAATAAAAATAAATATGAAATGCTCAGGTTTAGAAACCACTTGTGTAGAAGAATGACATAAAACACGTGAAACATTAAAAAGATCAAAATGTTGTTTTGTTTCCTGCCTCCTTTTGTGGTTTGCTGCCATATTTTTGTACGGTAGGTAGACAAAAAGTATTTAACATATGCTGCCACCTACTGGCCAGGTAAAGGATTTATTCAGGAACATTTGACCTTTTATTGCAGAAATGCCTCAATCTGTTGTTAATCTTAATTTAGCAGGTGTTGATTTTATTCTGGCAACACTTCATTAATTAGGCTGCAAGTTTTTTTCTGATTATTGTAAATCTATCTTTATTGCGGATCTGTTTGCCTTGTTGTCTAACTTGTTCTGTGTGCTATAGCCTATAAATAAAGCTGGTATGGTCTGTGTCACGAACAACGGCGTTTTATTTTACACAATTCAGAGTGAGACAGGAAGCAGACGGGTACCATCTGACTCCAGGAACGATGATGCAAGCAGCAGCAATGATGGATGGCAAAAATATAAATAAAAATAAAAGTTCAAGAGATGACGTTAAATGAGCTGCGAGTGCAGAAAAGAACAGAAATGAGTAGAAAGCCCCTAAAACTTTAACATTTGTTTAAAAGTTATTGATGTGCATCAACAGGGCAAAAAACCCCTAAATAGGCTATGATTTGCACGCCTCTTCTCTTTTTCTGTTATCGTACACAAGCCAAGATCACCTGAGTGACACCGACTTCCTGTGAGAGACAGACGAAGACAGCAGGCTGGCGTCCGACGGTGTAAAGTGGAGCAGTCATTAGTCCGTCTCAGGTGGAGCCGCCGGCCAGACGGAAACTCTCACTGAGGCTGTCACAGGATGATCATGAAGATAACCTGAAGGTACAACTTTCAACGGCTCATTCTTTATATTTTAAAGTCTTTATGAGTCTACATTCAAGAAAACACCATTAGTAAATTATCCAAGTGAAATATTCTACTTGACTTTTATTTGAGGGGATTTAAAATCGCTGTGTTGCGTTATGATTGCAGATTTTTAGCTGCCAGCACCTGCTTCTGTGAGGGGGGGTTTATGACTGCGGGTCACGAGAAGCCATGAGTGATTTCTGCTTGATTTCTGTCCCGCTGGACAAGACCAGCTTAACCAGCGTTGAGAAACTCAAGAGGAGCATAAAGAAAACCCACATGGCCTCCTGCTGGAGGTTCACCATCCCTGATCTGAAGGTGAGCGTGACCAGAAGAGGCTGGGAGTGCGAATGAAATTCCACTAAGTAGGAGACGAGGAGTCGTTCCCGTCCTTCAGGCGGGCCCAAGCGTCCGCTCTTTGTTCATCCTGGTACAGTAGAGTGTGTGTGAGGAGGCTGCTGGTGTTTGGTGTCCTTCTCTGGTGAAGGGATCCAGGCTCAGGTTGCTTTCTACAGTTTGAGGCAAAATTTCCATCTGACCCGTTTCACTCAACTTGATCAGTGTCAAACCTGCAGGGAGCAGCTTTTTCAGCCCGCTGCTCTGTTGTACGAAGCTGCGACTGCTCCTGTGACCCCTGCTGGCATCATTAGTAAAGCTGCGTTTTCCTTCTGATGTGCAGAAAGATCACCAACACTCAGCTCAGGATTTATTATAATTATCTACAACTTTTAATGTCGTTGCAAACTAATCATAGCGAAGGAGCCGCTTTAGCCTCTTTTAAAAACAAAATGTTATTCTGGTGCCTCGTGTTTAGACATGATGTAACTCAAGCTTCTACTGACCATCAACAGAAACTGCAGATAAAACTGAGCTGGTTTGTTTACATGATGTTCCTAACTCTTCTTTTCTATCTGGGACCAAATGCGAGGTGGATGTGGGGCGAATCCTGAAAGCTGCGTAGAACTTTTTAAGACGTCAGAAGGAAGACGCACCAACAGAAACTAACGGTTGTGTTTCTGCCGAGGCTGCAGGTGGGAATCCTCGACAGTCTCCTCAGCGTCTCTGATCGTCTATCCAAACTCGACATGCTGACTGAAAGGTAAAAGAAAGCCTCGTTTGGTCGTACCCTTCGTGTTTTTAGCCTGAGCTGCAGCGGTTGTCCTTCACCACGAGCAGCAGCTCTCAGCCTGCGAGGAGTCGTGATTAATTAATGGACAGGGACAGGTGGCGTTTAGTTTTCCCTCCTAGTTTTAAATTCATCGTCGGTCTATCTGAACCGTTACAACCCAACAGGTGGTGCAAGAACCTTCTGACAGTTCCTGGAAGTAGGACATTCATCTTATTGCAAAATAAAAATAATCAGTTTTTAGTTTTTATACGTTTATAAGTTCAGAATGATGCAGCAAACACACCTCTACTCTTCTATTTGTGGCTCGTCGGATGCATCTAAGTTTCCAAGAGCTCTTGATGGGATTAGTAATTTCCTCTAATCTGCTGGATAGACTTATTTTTGTGAGTGTTTTCTAAGTGCTGCAGGTGGAAAGTGCCCATTTTATCTATTATTATTTTTAGTTGCATTGATTCGTGCACCGACTGCTTCGTTAGGAGAGCTGGTGTTTGTCTCCACTGCTCATTGGACGAAGGGTGGGGGACATCAGGACAAACGTTGTCTCCGTCGTAGGGACACGCAGAGACAAATACTCATTCACACTCACACCAAGAGACACTTTAGAGTCTCCAGTTAACCTGACGTGCGTGTTTTTAGTCTGTCGTCACTGACGTTACGTCAGCAGTATCCGGTATTAACAGGTCATCAGAGAAGTGTAATTGATGTTAACATCAGCTTGTTTGTTACTCTTGTCTCTGGGGTTTATGAGGATAGAACATTATTTTATTTGAAGCCAAGTAAATAATAAGTTATGACATATATGCTCTCATCTCAGTGTGTTGAAGAAAACCTGCCAGTGTTTGAAGGAGGTGATGGAGCCGCCCAGAGACAAAGCTCAGGAAAGCATCTTGGTTAATGGAGGTGAGTCACATGAGCTCACTTTAGCGGATCAAGCTGTGAGTCATGCTTTTATTTTGTAGGAGAACTCAATCTGATGACTCTCCTCTGTCAGACCTCAGCGTGAGTCAGAGAGTGGCGCCGGCGCCCCTGAAGGCCTACTTCTCCTCACTAAGGGGTAACATTTCTGCGGCTTTGCTCTTAAAAGTGCACCCTGGCAGTTTTCTTCTTTGTTTTGATCTGTGACTCTTAGACTCTGAGCTGCTGGGTCAGAACCTTCTAGAGCTTTTCTTTTCATTTCTCAGAGAACCTGATGAACTACGTGACCAAGTTTCAGTGGGACAAATCCAAGTACCCCACCGCTCTGCCCCTCTCCACCCTGGCAGACATCATCAACAAGGTGAAAGAGCAACAGCGAGATCAAAAGATCTACCCGCCACTCACAACCAGCTTCTAATGACTATTAGTGCTCCAAATATTACTTTTAATTTCTGTTTTCATGAGATAAGCTGCGATCTCTAAAACAGTCTAAAGAAAACACAACATCTGCAGCACAACAGGCTTCACGAACTTAAGGTCAGAGGTCATGATTCACCAACAGAAAATCTCATATTTACTAAAAAAGTCTCGATGACTTTAAAGACTTCTGGGTAAAATTTCTGGGACTTATGAGACTGAAGCAGAAACATCTGGAAGGACTTCCAAAGGGTCCCAATGAAGGCAACTGAACTTCTTCTAATTGGAATATGGAAGTCGTGTTATAAACTGTAGCCGTCTGCTGTGGCTTAAAGAGCAAGTCACCCCCTACCAGGGTATTACTCCGCTCCCACTTCCTGTTTGAAAAATGCAACAAATGCTGTTGCCTAGCAGACCGAGAGGGCGGAGCCACTAACAAATACACACACACACACACACACACACACACACACACACACACACACACACAGGCTCACAACAACATTGTGACATCATATGGTACCAGCTAACGTTCTAGGGTACCTCTTAGCCAATAGCGATGGCAGATTTAAATTCAACTGCAGTGCAGGGTTTTTACCTGACAACGGCGCAACACTGACAGTTTTCGTCGTCGTCTTCCTCCGCTTATCCGGGTCCGGGTCGCGGGGGCAGCATCCCAACTAGGGAGCTCCAGACCGTCCTCTCCCCGGCCACCTCCACCAGCTCCTCTGGCAGGACCCCAAGGCGTTCCCGGACCAGATTGGAGATGTAACCTCTCCAACGTGTCCTGGGTCGACCCGGGGGCAAACCTATGTCTACACGTGTCCGCAGCACGATTAGACACACATTTATAGTTTATCAGGAAAAAAAAGTTGACTTTGGGGTGACTTGCTCTTTAACGAGCCGAGAAACCAAAGGAGTCCAGTCCTTCATTTGAACCCTTTGGATTACCATGATCTGGACGACTGAGAACCTTTACCAGCATATCTGGAAGGTGAGCGATCTGCTCCATCTGGAGACAAACTACTAGATCACCACGGCAACAGTCAGACATGGTGGCGTTAGCGCGATGGTCTGGGGCTGCTCTGCTGCTTCAGGACCTGGGCCACCTGCTGTAAGTCATGGAACCATCAATTCTGCACTCTAGCAGAACATCCCGACGGAGAACGTCTGACCTTTGACCTTAAACAAGACATTCATGCTGGAAAACCTCCAAAATCCTCCACACTGGATGCAGTTGTCGTCTCCAAGAGTGTTACACAACCTGTCCGTGGGTTTAAGGGTCGGCTTGGTTTTGGCTTTAAAACGGCCCGTTTTATCTTTATTTGATGTTTGTACTACATCTCTTTATTGTTTTTGTTTATTTTTTACTCTGACACAAACAAACGCTGTGACTGCTAAACGAAACCGCGGGACTGACGCTCGTTTCTTCATGAGAACGTTTGCTGGATTCTTGGTTTTCTACAGGAAGTTTTGCAGCCTAATTAAACTAATTAAACAGTTTTAAGTAAACCGGTACCATCACATGCAAGTCAAAAACAAAACTGAAGCCTAATGACAGATCACCTGAACATCACGCGGGTTTTCAGGTTTCCATCGTACTTCATGATTTGGGGATTAAATTTTGATGCTACAATCAGCTTTAACGCCCAAAGATGAGCCTAAAATGAGAGATATTCCTCGTTTAAAACCGTTCGAGTCGCTGCTCAGAGGTTCCCCAGAGGAAAGCGTCGGTAAATAGTTGTTTTACATTCATCTGAGGAACCTGTGGAGCTCAACGAAAGAGGAGATCATTAAAATCGGTGTCGTTAAAACTTTACCGTTGTTTTTCTGCAGGAAGTTTCACTGGTGGAGACGGAGTTACGATCCCGATCTGCAGCGTACGGCGGCGTGAAGGCCAGCCTGCAAAGCTTGGACAACCAGAAGTGAGCAAAACATCTGGTTTCATTGCATCTTCTGCATGTTTACTGATGTTTTCGGCCGTTTTCAGTGGGAATTTGCAAACCCGCAGTCTGAACGGCATCGTGAGCAAAGACGACCTGGTGGTTTCTGAGTATTTAACAACTCTGCTGGTGGTGGTGAGCAGGTGGGTCAAACCCCACGTCTGTGTGTGTCTCTGCGATGTTTGATGATTTAAAGACTTTTCTGTGTTTTTCATCCCAGAGGAAGTTACCTGCGGTGGGAGAGAAGCTACGAGTCCTTTTCGGTGTTTGTGGTTCCTCGATCAAGCAGGTGAGTCACGCTTTTGCTCGGCGAACCACAAGGTGCTGCCGTCCAGCTCCAGGGCTCCGGCCTCCAAAAGGTCAAGCTGAGTAGCAGCAGGCGTTCTGCAGAAAGAGTCCGAGGTTTGGATCAGCAGGGAGGGAAGTTTGCTTTCAGAGAGTGAAACGCCTCCAGCGGAGGTTTTGAATGATTGAATGCTTCATGAACACCAAGCAGGAGCAGAAGTTCAAGCGCCCAGAATTAAAACTAATCTAAAAATCTAAAACCGAGTGACTTTTTTAGGAACAGCAGTCGTTTTCTAATGCTGTTTAATCAGATTCATTTATTTTTACCACTTCAGCTGATTATTTTGTACAGGACGTGCAAAAACCGTTTCCGGTGAAGGAGGAGATGTTTTCTACAGAATTTTTGTCCCATTGCTTGAAAAACTCTCCCCAAACTGATGGCAACCAATCAAATCAACGTTTCATCTAAAAGGAAACAATCTGCACCCTCTCTGAGAAGAACAACCCTGGAAAACCTTTATCCAATCATTGTGACCTTCCCGTTCTAAGTGACTGGATCTCGATCTATCCGTCACACGACGCTCCGACCGTCCGACCTCCTCTGCACTTGGAGTAGCTGAACAGGAAGTGAAGCCAGAGCCCAGCTGGCTAACGGACCGTTCTGGAAGTCTCCACCTGCTGTTCATGTGAATTTCCAGATTTTCAGCGGCGTTGAACAGAAGAGAAGAGAGAAGTTCAGAATAAAACCAGAAAACTGCGTCGTTTTTCCCCGTAACACCACATCGTGTTAGCATGCTAAATTATTTTATGGTTACGTGGGTGAGCGATTGGGAATCATGGTAGAAAGGTGCAAACAACACGTCAAAAACATAAACCTGAATCCTCGAAACAGCTTTGGACGTTCCTGCAGTCCGGGGCAGCTTAGAGGCGGACGCCTGCAGAAAAGAGGGTTGGACTTGTGAATATTGTATTTTCAAAGAGTATAGCTCGCTTAAACAACAAGAGAAACATCTCCTTCTGCTCCTCTGATTCTAAAATGTCCAGAGATGTTTGGTTTGACTGGTTTGACACAAGTCAGGAACAAATGTGTCTTTGAACATTTTCTTACTCATCGATAAACCATCTAAAAGTCACCCGTTTTCTCCGCGCTGCTGCTGATCTGCTTTTATTGTGCGTGACTTTCAGGAAGCTGATGGAGGACAGAGAAGGGGCGATCTTTGCTGTGACCCTCTTCAAAAGAGCTGTATGTGATTTCAAAGCCAAAGCTCTGCAGAGCAAGTAAGCAGCGGGGCTGGACAGAAATCTCCCGGCGGAGTCTGAGCCGAGCCTTCCGTGTCGATTACCATAAAGTAGTCTATGATCCCACAGGTTCGTTGTGAGAGAGTACAGCTTTGATGTGGAGGAGAAGAAGCAGCTGGAGATCGTGAAGCTCAGCGTCCAGAAGAAGGAGCAGCACGTGAGTCCCGGTTTGACCTCGGGCTGAAGCGCTAAAGCGTATTTCTGCAGCTAACTCCTGCATCCACAGGGGATCTTGGTGCGTTGGCTGAAGGTGAATCTCACTCAGCTGTTCATGGCCTGGATTCACTTGAAAGCATTAAGAGTCTTTGTTGAATCGGTCCTCAGGTGAGCGTTGACGATGCGAGACATGGTGGGTCAGATTCAAAATGACGCGATGGATTGATTTTAATGGGAATTCTGTGTATTTTCTGGTAGGTATGGATTACCTGTAAATTATCAGGCTTTTCTCTTAGAAACCGACAGGAAACGCTCAAAGAAACTGAAGGAAGAGCTCAACTCGCTGTTCGTGCATCTGGACCCCACTGCAAGCACGAAAGATGTAAGAGAGCAAACTGATCCTGCAGCAACTGGTTGTTTATCAGTGTTGTAATTTAATCCAAAGCAAAGCCACGGGTTTTTAGAACCACCGAAAACTCAGATCCAGGTCAGAATGTGTCCGCGGGCTCATGATGAGGAGATTTTTCAATCCCAGCAACAGGCAAATAAGAACAAACATGCCAGATTTGCATGATGAACGAGTCTTTCTGCGTCTCCAGGTGAGCTACGACATCCCAGGTCTCTGCCAGCAGGACTACTCCTCCTACATCTGCTTCCACATCAGCACCAGCGTGCTGGAGATCAGCGAGAAGCCAGACACGTGACCGACGAGCCTCGCCAGCCGCAGGCAGTCAGAACCAAAAGTAAACCAGTCAGAAAGAATAACTATTTGTAAATAACGTTTTCCCAGGATGGATGTCTGCCTCATCACATCAGCTGTACAGTTGCACACACCTTCTGTAAAATATGAGATTTGTTTCATTTATTTGATCCTGTAAATGTTTTAGGTGAGGATGTTCTTCCTAAACTGTCCCTGAAATAAATAAAGATTCTTAAACTGACGTCAAATATGTTTAACGGGCAGTTTTGACAAAAATGGGGATAAATGTATTATTATGGCTTTTTCATAGCTTATGTTCAACTGAAAAAATAGCATAAAATAGCAGTTTTATGCTATTTCTTTGGTCCAGGACAGACTCCAGCTCACATTTTTACTGTTGAATGACTTCAGAGCGTTTGGATGTCTTATTGAAACCCGAGAGATTTAGTTTGATTTTATCTGCATTAAAGGTGCGTTATGGAAGTTTGACAGCCAAAACATGTATAGAAATAATAAATGTCTTCTTCATACGTTCTCCTGCAATGCCCTGGTCCTGTAGAATGAGCCCTGGCATTTTTACTGTGATTGCCTGTTTTTCTGTAAAATCACAGAAAAAGAGAGATGCTCGGGTCGAGCAGGCTGCTTCATGAGCGTTCACGCTCAGGCATCGCCCGTAGCATTTGCTATCCGTAGCTTTAGCAGCAGAGAGAGAGGCAGAGCCACTTTGTCGCTGTTCCTAACGCCTAGTGACAAAGCTAGCTACATTTCTGAGGACCCTTAGCTACTTTCTGTAGAACTTTCTTCTAGATATTTCCTGCTAATTAGCAACAAAATAGCCATTTTCACTCCGAACCGTTCTTTGGTTTGACGTTGTTTCAGCTGTCATCAAGGATATAAATGTTACAGATACAAAGGACATCACTGACGCTTTAGCTCAACTAGTAAGATGTCTGACTCTCATGCAGAAGACCTGGGTTTGATTCTGGATGAGAACATAGTTTATTTAGAGTTTATTTTTTACATTAATGGTATATTTTTTACAGTAAGATGCCCAATTTTTAGACTTGCCGAACGACTTTGAATTCACAGATAAAAAGATGTGGGTTCAACTTTCATTTTGGAACAATTTTTCAAGCAAGGGAAGGGAATGATCTGAGCATGCAGGAGGACTGACCCATCATAAACCTTTGTCGCTGTGCTGAAGAGAAAGGTACAGAACCACATTATTTAATTAATTAGCTGCACGTTCTCCTGTCCTCTGTCCTCCGGGCCACACACACACACACACACACACACACACACACACACACACACACACACACACACACACACACACACACGAGACTGTCTCAGCTGTTATTTTCGTTAAGGAGTGTGCACGTACAGCATGCGTGCCTCGTGCACGAGCCTACTATTGAAGCTGCCATTACGCTTTTGGCCTGAGGGGGCGATCACGAGCATAAAAATTCAAAAGTCCGTAAAGTCCCTTTGAAGGTGAAATAAAGTTTTAGAGGCTTTTAGGAAGATGAAAGTCTGGAGTAAACATAAAATATCTCTATGTGTTGTAAACAACTTAGTGGAGAATCTATAAAAATATTCTAATATTGGCATGAATAAACTCTAAACTACACTACTCTAAATATTTGAATTCAGTTAATTTTGGTTCAACAGGACGAGTTCAGATCCTCTAATTTTACAAGCTTTAACAATATTAACCAACACTAAACTACTTCAGCTGGACAAAAGATATTTGTGCTTAAATAGTTTAGGTTGTTTTCTGGTTTTACATATTTCCAACTTCTCTCAGTTTAAAGAATATTACTGAACAGTCGGTATCAACCTTATGGTTCAGGGTCACAGAGGCGGGGTTTCACACGCGCTGGGCACAGGGAACAGAAACACAGTAACACATCCTTTGTTTTATCTGAAAAAAGCAAAAACATGAATAGAAGACATGTTTGAACCTCATGCAACTCAAGAATCTGCAGCAAAAAGTGACCTCACCAGAATAAACTTCAGAAGCAGGAACAACAGGACCACCTTCCTTAGGGGTTTGCATTCCAGGCACCTTTATCCACTGCTTTAGGGCCACTGCTCCTCTCAGCTGAGGTGGCTCTGGCATCTGATGAAGATCACGTCCCTCTGGAGGTTTTCCAGACACGTCCCAGGTGGAAACACACGAAGACCCAGAACTAGAGGGATTAGATATGTCTCTGACCTGGAAAAGTCCTGGGATTCCCAAAGCTGGGATATGATCCTGGAATAGATAAACGCAGAAAATGGATGTTTATTAAAAATGCCTAAATAAAATGTAAATGAAACAACTACCCCCTTGTTTCTGGTTAGTTTATGACATAAAAAAGTTATTAGAACTTGGAGGAAGGCAACAATTGGACAGATTTGTAGAATAATGCTGATTCAGCAGATGAAGATGTTTCTAATTTAAAACATTTTAATTATTCATCCCGCCTGCTATATTAAATATTCTCTTTACACTCTCGCCTGTTTAAATCCCAGTAAATGATCAATTATTTTACTCTTCCAACAGATTCCGACAGTTGAACAAGAAGGCATGATCATCTTTGGTTTCTTTGGCTTTTGAGGAGCCTTCAAGTGTGTGTTATTGTGATCCCTTCATGGTCGATCTGTGCGCGTGCACGTGCGTGTGTATGTGTGGGAGAGACAGAGATGGGAGGTGTTGGATAAAGCTGGCCACCCAAGCTGTGCCAGCATTCAGAGGAGGAGAAAGTCAGATGGAGGAAGGTTTTACGCGCTCGGAGACGGTGATGGGATCCTCTCCTGGTTTTCTAGGATAAACGTTTCAGTCGTCTAGTTTGTAAAATGTGGACAGTTCCGAAGCCCAGATACAGAAGTGATGCGAGCGCAGAGGAGGAGGAGGTCACGGTGAACATAGGCGGAGTGAGGGTGGTGCTGTTCGGGGATGTTCTGATGCGCTACCCGGAGAGCAGACTGGCCGAGTTGGCCACCTGCTCCACGCAGAACTCGGAGCTCATTTCTTCTCTCTGTGATGACTTCGACCCGAGCAGGAACGAGTTCTACTTTGATAGAGACCCGGATGCGTTCAAGTGCATCGTTGATGTTTATTATTTCGATGAGATCCACATTAAAAACGGCATCTGTCCCATCTGCTTCGTCAAAGAGATGGAGTTCTGGAAGATCGACCAGAGCGTGTTGGATGAGTGCTGTAAAAGTTACCTGAGCGAGAAGGAGGAAGAGCTGACAGAGATCGCAAACAAAGTAAAGGTGATTTTGGAAGATATGGATGTGGATCGGTGCGTCACGCGCACCCAGCGGTGCCAGAGGTTCATGTGGAGGCTGATGGAGAAGCCCGATTCCTCCCTGCCCGCGCGCATCGTGGCCATCGCGTCGTTCCTCTCCATCCTGGTCTCCGCGGTGGTGATGTGCGTGAGCACCATCCCGGAGCTCCAGGTGACGAACGTGGAGGGGAAACAGGTGGAAAACCCGACCTTGGAGGGCATCGAGACCGCGTGCATGTTGTGGTTCACGGCGGAGTTCGCGCTGCGCCTCGCCTCGTCCCCGAACAAGCTGCGCTTTGTGCTCTCCTTCATGAACATCATAGACTTCATGGCCATCATGCCTTTCTACGTGGTGCTGTCCCTCACTTGTCTCGGCACCTCCTCCATGATGGAGCTGGTGAACGTGCAGCAGGCCGTCCAGGCGCTGCGCATCATGCGCATCGCGCGGATTTTCAAGCTGGCGCGCCATTCCTCCGGACTGCAGACTCTGACCTACGCGCTGAAGAGGAGCCTCAAAGAGCTGGGACTGCTCCTCATGTACATGGGGGTGGGGATCTTCGTGTTCTCCGCGCTGGCCTACACCATGGAGCAAAGCCACCCGGAGACACTCTTCAGGAGCATCCCCCAGTCCTTCTGGTGGGCCATCATCACCATGACCACAGTGGGTTACGGAGACATTTACCCCAAAACCACGCTGGGCAAGTGCAACGCAGCAGTGAGCTTCCTCTGCGGGGTGATAGCCATCGCTTTACCCATCCACCCCATCATTAACAACTTTGTTGTTTTCTACAACAAGCAGAAAGTTCTGGAGACCGCAGCGAAGCACGAGGTGGAGCTGATGGAGCTGAAGTCCAGCAGAGAGGCGCGCAGGAGAAGCGACGAGTAGGAGCCGCAGAAGCAGAGAAAATCAGACTGGCTTTCAAATGAAGAGATGTAAATAAAGCTGTTGGGTATGGAGAGCTGATGTCCTGCTGCTTCTGATGGTTTACAGAATAAAAATGTCAATGTTGTGCGGGATGGCATCAAAGGTTCATGAGAACACCACTAAATAAAATAAACTTAACACCAAGGTCTCACCAACAACATTTCTATTTGGGTTAAACAAACAGAAACATAATCTGGGTCATTCCGGTTTGAAGGACGCTCACTGTGGCTGATTTCTGTGTCTGTGATGATCTAACAGGGTCAGAAAGTGAAAAAGCAACAAGAACAAATTGTGTTTTACACTGGAAAAAAGGGCCTGTGAGAGGAAATGAAGCTTTTATGAAAGGTTCAGAAAGTAACGTAATTCTGGTGGAACAACAGTTTCAAAACTTTTATTTTATTTCGAAGCTTTAGGATAATCCAGCACCCGGTTAATCGATCCAACTGCAAAAAGGTCAAACTTAAGGAGGCAGGGAAACAAACCCGCTAGACGTTTCCAAATGATTTCAGTTTTGTCGTCAGTTTGGTTTCAAAAGATGAAAAAAAATCAAATACAATAAATGTTGTATTAGAGGCAGAAGCTGGAGTCTTCTAAAAGCAAACATGAAGGATCACCTGAGCAGAGACGTGAAGTCGAGACCGTACTCAGCTACTACACCATCTAGCTCATGATTACTGAGCTCCTGTTTCCTTGATGGACCGACTTCATCTCATGTCATAAAGACGTTTCTGGGTTGGGGTCACATTTGATGGTGATAGGATGAAGTTTAACGAGACAAATTCCATCTATAGGTCTATGACTCACTTTTTCAACACCCAAAGTCACAAAAAACCGACTCAAATGCATCATTTAACTCACCAAAATAAAATCTGCTCGTTTGTTTGACACTGATCCTAAAACTGCCTTTAATAAATAAGAATAAACCCTTGTGGTTATTTGATCCTTTATAATAACAAATATCAAACTTATTAGTTCAGAAGTTGCTGTTTAGATTTTAAAAACAGTCATTTAAATGCATTAAAGCGACTGCAAGGTGTCACCGCAGCTCTGGTTTCTGTCTGCAGAGATTTGCACAGAAAGAACAACAATCAGAGGCTGACTGATCAGACTGAGTCATGCAGACACGGTCGGTGGATTTTATTTTATTTATTTATTTATTTATTTTTATTTTAACAGAACTGATGTCTGAATGCTGGTGACAAGCCTTACAGATTTACTCTCAGGTGGAGCATCAAAGCGTCTGCTTTTAATGTCACGCCTGATACTTAAAACTTTGTTGTTATTGTTGTTGAATGCTTTGCAATTCCGACCAGACACGGAGACAGAGGTGAAAGAGAAAGGAAAAGACAAAAGGTGGGGAGGAGGAGGGGGGGTCCACAAAATAAACAATAATGAACAAGAGTCTGCTTCTAGACCTGCAGAAAGAGACAGGAGAGAAAAAATGGGACACACAACAATACATCAGGAGCAAACTATCGCTGCGTCAACTTGAAGAAATATATAATCAACATTGTTTAACTGAACAATCACACGATAATAAATCACAGTGCATTTAGTGCCAACCACAGCCTTAAGACCTGTGTTGAACGTGCCCAAGTCCATACTTATGAGAGCACCATGTGAGCACCTGTGTGTGTACACGCGCTTGTTTATGTAAGGTTTCTCTATAGGAGCGTCCAATAGAGAGTGTGAAGGACCACAGATCCGCCCCCCCCCCCCAAAGATGTGTAGGAGACAGGGGGAGCTCCAAGTCTCAGAGATCCAGGCGCTGCCCCAGAACACAGGAACCCCAGGGAGACTGCAACCAGAAAAGCCCCCGCCCCCCTCGAGAGGCGCAGAGGATCGCCCCGGGGGGCCACAACCAGCAGCCTGCAGAGTCCCGGGAGATATCAGCGGCAAGCCCACAGGCCCGCCCGCAGCCTCCCACCCCCTAGCCGGCCGAGCCCGGGACCCAGGGGCGACCACCCCCGCCAGGGACCCAGCAGAGCCCAGGGACCCAGACCCCACCAGGCAGCCACCGGGATTGGTCAGGCAGACGCCAAAAATCTCAAACTCCCTGACCCGGGAGCCACGACCCAGGCAGACCAAGGCACCGCACTCCACACCAGGTGTGGCAGGGGGAGGGGAGACGAAGATCTATATCATCAAAAGAAGTCCCAGGAGAGGGGAGGAGTCAAAGGCCCCACCTGACATATACAGTCATACATAAACACAGTCACACACTCCCTCCCTCATGCTCACACACACACATATACAACCAAAGACTTACAAAGATGCACGCTGGACACCCACTCATGCTCCCCATACACACCCTATTAACTCTGGTCCCGGTACTGCTGCACATGGGGTACAACCATCACCGGTTCCCAGAGTTCAACCCTTTCTGCTGGGGTGCTGATGAGCAGGCTCCCCCGCCCAACGCTGAGCACAGCAACCCAACACCCCAGACCCCAACCAGACGGCTGGATCTCCCTCCTAGCCTCCAGCCCCAGGAAGCCAAGCGACAAGGAGACGGAGGGCTTCTGCCTACTTGTGTGTTTTTGATGACCTCACATCCCTTTTGTCTGTTTATATTTTTCTGGACGTCTCTGATATGATGCCAGTCTGCGTTCTGAGAAAGTGCCATGCCCAGCAGGAAAACACTTCAAAGTAACGCTACGTATGCCCCCACACACACTCTGAACACTGAAAAACACACCACTCCACCCGCTGTTTCTCTCCTTATCGCTCCTTCGTCCAGACTCCTCCTCCTCCTCCAGGCTGAGATGGTGATCTGTCAGCTTCGCTGGCTGGCGGGGATCAGACGCTCCCATAAGGAGTCATGCTATCAGGGAAGTCAGCCATAAAAAAGCTCAAGTTTTGAGTTAAAAATGGAAATAATCAATGTTTGAATAAATAAATAAAGAATTAGAAAGCTTCTTTTAAAACTTATATTTTATAAATCGGCTCTTTGATGTTTAAATATTGGTTTTATTCCAGACTTACAGTCTCAATAAGGATCGAGTGGGTTTGGGTAAAACTTAAATCCTGACTTCAGCTTGAAGTAAACCATTTGTTGCAACAATCAGTCAATTTTACAAGTAAATGCACAAAATAACCAGCTAAACTCAACCTTCAGAAACAAAACGACACCAACCAAAGCAAAGTGGACGAACAAGGCCTCATACATCAGATTACGTCCTCTGTGCTTGTCCAGCGAGCACACACAGCATCAAACCAACCGTCATTAAACCAAAAGGATCCACAGACCTGCAGCGTGTGCGGCGCTCCTTTGTGCTGATTTACCAGAAGCAAACATGAATCTGTAATAATCAGATTTCTGCAGGAGCTTTTTGCCACCAAGCAAATAAAAACACGTATTTCTGTAAAATACGTACAAAAAGACATTTGTTGCATGATGTCATCAGGATGAGTTGGAGGGTGGAGTTCAGCTGCTGGAGCTCCTCACAAGAAGAGAAGATAAGAAAACAAAGAAAAGGTGTTTGATTGGGGGACCGAGCTTTATGACTAACACATGCATACATAATCTCTCAGGCAGCTTCCACTTTGTGCATGAAATCCAAATAAAGTCTTTCTTTAATTTTTATAAACACCAAGTTTCTAATCTGTGGAAAACAAACAGATCTGTGAACAGAAATCAAGACGTCTAAAAAAAGAACGTTTTCTCCTAAATCCCAAATTACTTCTACCGACTCGAACGGATTTCACGGTCCTCCGAGTTGCCTTCATTGCTCTATTTTTGCACATTTCCGAACAGAGTGAGAAAAACTGAGCGTAAAGTTGCAGATTTGTGATGCTTCAGACAACCTGGAGCTTTTAAACACTTCTGAGATTTCACTCCAGACTCTGATGTAAGGCCTTGTAAATGCTCTGCACCCTGTAAAACCTTTAATGGGTTTATGACTCAATGCAATAAAATCACCTCTGCCTTATCTGCTCTCTGAAGGTCTGCTGTTGCACCCTCGGCTGCAGAAATCACCATAAATCACCAAGCAGGAGATTGTTTAATTAATCCAAATGAACTTCACAGCAAACTTCTTTAAGCAAACCTGCAACGTTGCATGCATTTGTTGTTGTCGGGATTCACACTTTTATTAAATGAAACGTTGCATTTAATGTCAAATTACAGCCCAATTCAAGATGGCTGCTGCAGCTAACTGCAGGCTTTCCTCTTTTATTAGACTTTTATTTAAAAATTGCAAGAATTAAGTGAAACCCTTTCAAGCGCACATGACCAGAACAGATTCCTGCAAATATACGACAGGGTCATAACGAAAGGGAACCTCACGGGTTCAGGACAAAAGCCAAATCCTCGACGTCAGTCGTGAAAACCATTTTCACGTCAGGGTTAGAAAATGCAGCGGGCCCATTTCCTCCACCGGCGGTGGTCTTCCGTTGTCATGGCTCCTTGCAGGCTTTAAATAACAGTCTGGCTCACATTATTCTGCCTCAGCGACGTCGTTTTGCTTTTAGTCTGGACTCCCACATTGAAAACACTCCACAGTTCATTGTAACATGTTTATCAGAGCAACATGCTGCGCTTTCTTCCCTTACTCGCGTCAGGAGAGTGAGTCATCGTGGATATTCTGAGTCGGACCTGAAAATAAAGGAGGGCTGCAGAAAATCTGGTCAAATCAGCCTTTTAATTACATTTAATGCCCAAAACCTCACACTCGTTCTTTCCCACAGTTTCTTTTCCTGATTATTTGGTCTTTCAAAAATGCTAATTTCCACATCTGTGTAATTTAGGTGGATATTTCTTATGTATCTAGGAGGGAAAGACTCATAACCAAACCCTGATGCAAGAAACAACTTCAAAAATCAAATAGTTGACAGAAGAAAGTCACTTCCTCCAGGCTTCGTTCTGCTGGTGCATCACCCAAATGACCAACGTAAAGATGAGGCACATTTTTAATTCATGTGTTTAATTATTAAAGCCTCACTGAGCATTAACTCCTCCTGACCCCTAAATTAGTTGAAGTTTTTAAAACTCTAGAGGGTTCGTTTAAACTTTGAAAAGCCCACTAAAACGATTTTTTAAAATTAATAAAATAAAATAAAGAAAATGTTTTATTTACTCCTGGAAGCATCATCGCTCCAGCTCCTCTGGTGATCCAGACCAGCCTACAGATAAAACCCCTCTAGTGCATCCTGGCTCGGCCCTGGAAGGATCATCCTAACCTCTGGATGAACAGGAGCACTTCAGAGGAGGCAGAGGAAACTCGTCTCAGGCTACTGCATTAATATTTAGTTTATCGCCCAAAGCTAATGAGCAGAAAGCCAACAGAGCACCTACCCACATGCTGCCTCTATCCGCCTGCTGACCTGCAGATTCTGCTTTAGAGGCATTCCCTCTCCGTCTTCCCAACCTGGAATTTGCAAGAGCATGAAAAGTAAACAAGTTCTGTATGCAGCTGTAAGATCCAGATCATTAACCCTCCACCTTCGTGCTGAGAAGTGGTATGCAGTGTTTGAGTTGAGGATAAAAGGATTTTGAACATTTCACATTCTTTTTGTTGTAAAATAAAATTTTGCAGGAATCCAGTCTCGATAAGAACGCTGGAAGCAGCCGTCATGCTTCTGCAGACTGAGGCGGACATGTTCCTTCCAGAGCCGTCTCACTCTGCATGTGTGTGACGTCTCCAGCAGCTTTGCTTGTTATGTTTTTTTTCACAGACTGAAACTGAATCTCACGGCTCTGATTTGCCGTCACTCCCATCAGCTTCCTCGGCGTGCGAGAGAGAAAAACACGCTTCACTAGGGTTTAGTTTAGTTTGAGAGAGCTGAAGCAGCAGACTGACCTCCTTCAGTGTTTTTACTTCCAGATTAACCTGACGGCTGGATTATTTATGCTTGAAATGAATCCGTTGAAGCAGCAGGACGGTGACCTTTCTGGTTCTTCCATCGCTTCTTTTGCCCACTCGATAACGGCTTTGTGCTCCCTCGCCTCGCAGCTGGTCGGCCACTTTTTAGGCCTCTGTCGCAGAATGGATCTAAAAGGGTTGACCCCGGAGACCTTTTATGCTTTACTTTTTCAAATTTGTGAAGCACTTCTCAGTCAATACTGTAAGCTCTCAATGAAAGGCCACTAGGAGGTGGGAGGTTCAACGCTCGATGTGTCAGTTTTTCCTGACCTATGAGCAAGATTCTAATCTTAGACGGGCGAAGAGACGCCGCACAAAGCCCAGGAATCAGACCAGACCAGGTCCTAAAAGTTAGTTTTTCCATAAGAAATACAAATTAAAAATAAATCGAACGTCTTCTTTCATTCATGTTCATTTGAACTCTTCTGGGAAGAATGAATCCTGAGTAGAAACACGATGAAAGCCTGAGGTGAGGCATTTCTGCTGCAGACAAACATCACGAACATTCCTCTGCCGGCGCAGTGAAACACTCCCGTTTCTGCTCCTCCTAAACAACACAACAGCTGCTTCCCTCCTTTATGCTGCCCTGCTGTGAACATTACTTCAACTTATTATCCTCAGGAAAATCAAGCTGAAGCTGGGGAGCATTTTCTCTTTCTGCAGTTGCTAATCCCTCCAGATAAAAACCTTTCCTCCCTTGGCTGTGAACACATAACTGAGGATAACGTGCTCAACGGTGCACTTTCCAAAATATCGTCTAGGACATGACGGAAACTCAATCACATGGCTGAGCTGTCTTCTGGTTGCTCTTTAAAATGTCACAGCTGCTGCAGCGCTGCTGCGAGCTGGCAGAAATCTTCCCCTCAGGGAGGAATGGGAATGTTTCTGTCGGTGGTGTGCTTTTGGCTAGACGTACAAAGCTGCAGCACTCTGAACGCCCGGGGACATGCGGAAGTAAAGAAACTTGACCTCAGCTTTTGTTTCTCATGAATTCACATCTTAGACTAACAAATTCTGATCCTAGGATCATTAGTCAGCATAATCCAGAAGAAGAAGAGGAGTTGGTTTTAGTTTCCTGTTATTCAAACACGGCACCAGCGAGCGGTCTGGATTAAATCTCCTTTATAGAAATTTAAAACAGGTAACAAACAATCCTCCATGACATTTTAGACTTCAGCGACGTTCCTGTGAGACATCTCAAAGCTCAGACTGATGGATTCGAGAGGACATCTGATAGACAGACACCGTTCCTTTATATGAAGGCAGAAAATACGGATGAGGATGTTTTAATAAACTAATCAGACACTTTTACTTTGGGTTAATGCAAATGTGAAAGATTTTTATACAGCATAAAAAATCAATAAAAGTGTTTTAGTCACTTAAGTTACAACCAGCAATCAAAGCATTCAAACAGGAGCAAAAGGAAGATAAACGCGTGCTCGTGCCCGAAGCCACTGAAGGAGACATACCAGCTTGTAGGGATGTAAGAAAATATCGATATGACAATATATCGTGATATTTTTTCCAGCAATATATCGATATTCAAAAGCCATGTATCGGAAATATCGATATGGCAATATCTCGTGATTTTTTTCCTGCGATTATTACATCGATATTCAAAAGCCGTGTATCTAATTCTTGAAAGAATTTACATGCAAACATTTGTGTATTTTCTTTTCATTTTGTGCAATTCAATCGCCACCCGCTAGTTGGCAGCAGTGTGCAACGGGTTTTGTTTCCACCATTGAAATGTAAATACTTCCATCATGGTTCAGATACCTCATGTTAAACACGTTTCGTATCAGTTTGGACTGTTTATTGAACATTCTTACAATAAATTCAGTAAAAAAAATTGCTTGTGACGTCTGACTGAATGTATCGCAAAATATCGTGATACATCGTATCGTCTCCCCTGTATCCTGATACGTATCGTATCGCCAGAATTTCAAAAATACACATCCCTGCCAGCTTGGGTTGCAAATGTCAGCTGTTCCTGTGGTTAAGGTTGAGTTGTTCAGCTTTTTTACTTTTATCATTGAAAATAACATTTTCTGCAACTTCTTGTGACTTTTTAGTCTAAAAAATGAATGCAGCACATCAGCAAAGTTACCTTAAAAGAATGAACACACATTTAATCCATGCTGCAGAAACCTCATTAATGCAGCTGATTTATAATCTCACGATTTGCAGAAGCCAGTTGCAAAGCCGTCTCTTGGGGAGCTAAAGCGGAGTTAATTCATCTTGTTCACGCCGACAACCTGAACCTGTGATGCAGAACGTGCATCTCAGAGTATTACACCAAGCCGTTACCTTTTACAAGCTAACCTGGAGACGATGCAGTACATAAAACAAATGATAATGGCCTGATCTACAAAAGCAGACAGCTTTAATAAGAACATCCTGAATAAAAGGAATAACAGGTTAAAGGAACAAACACGTATTAACTCTGGAGCGGCTCTTTGTCTGGCTTTTGTCTGCAGAACAAAACTGGAATTAAAGGATAACATAAAACCAAGACTCTGACTTAAATACTCCAAACAACAGCTTTCCTTAAAATGATGAACTCTGTGATGCTTTCCTTCGGCGCTGAGACTCTGCAGAGGAGAAAAGCTGCAAGTGCACATTTAGATGATAAGTTCCTGTTGGCTCATCACCAAGAGCAAAACGTCTTTCACAAACTTTGCATCATGCACTCTGCAGCTGTAAAACCATCTTTATCCATTTAATAAGCAGCTGCAGAAACAATCTAAACTCTTGTACTTCAGCTTAAATGTTTCCTAATGAAGTCATAAACAGAGACTCTGCAACAGCAACACGGTGATTTCAGCTTCTTCTGACTGACGTGCTAAAGCTCTTCTAGCAACAATAAAACCCTGTTCCTGTACGTTTAGCATTGGCTCCAACGGTTGGCCAGTTATCACGGAGTCCCGACTCTAAAATGTCAGAAACATTAATCAGCTCCAACATCACAGACACTTATTTATTTATTGCAGGATCTCCTTGGAGCTCACATAATCACACAATGAGTAATGTGAAGATTAATGCAGCTACACCTATAATCACGCTGCATCACTTTCTTTATTGCAGTGCATGTGTAAAGATGTCACAGCCCGGTTTCACAAAATAAATGTACATAATGTTTGAAATGACCGTGTTGAGTCACCGACTGCTGCAGTTTTGGTTTTTTGGGGAGTTTTGATCTCAGAAATGAGAGTCTAGTGGACAAAAGTTCCCCCATTTGGCCTTTGAGACTCAAAACTCAGCAAAATAACCGATTTCTGCATCCTAACCTCGCATAATTACTGCATCCGTGTGCAGAAAACTCAGCCATTTTATTTTCTAATATTGTTGCCATGGTACCAGCCAGCATGTTTTGTTAGAGCAGCCTTTATAAATTGTGCTCATTTCTTTCATGTTGAGTTCAAGCACAAAAGGCAGCTGATAGAGATCGTAATAATTTCCATAGAGATGCAGATTTGCTCAGACGGTTTGACTCTGGGGGGTTGAAGTAAGTTGTGTTTGCTTTTAGTTTTAGCTGTGAGGACACGTGCAACCTTCCTCCCCGCAGCGATCGCCGTCCTGAATGCACACATGCGCTGAAGCGCTTTATGTGCTTACATACATTAGGACCAGCCCTGTGATGTAGCCCTTGCTGTTCGGTTGCACCTACAGCCTGTTCTGTTGTGGTGCAATGATAATAAGGCTTTCTGCAAATGTATTTTTCTGTAAAACAAAACTAAACTGCAGCTTTGTTTTAGAGAGAATGCAACAGAAGGAATTGCAGGGCTCATAAACGAGCCACATTGGTGATTTGAAAGATCTTCTATGTGATTTTAACCACAATCATTCATGATGCATGAATTGTAAATACGACTCAGCATAGCATTAAAACTATGTGATTGTGTCTGATGAGGAGGAAGCTGCACGTCCGTCCAAACTGAGTTCAGCGATGAATTAGGCGGACAAACCTAAATTATTCATAAACAGATTACCTTTTCATTAATCTCTGAGAAGTAAAAAGTGCTTCACCTCTGCAGAAGTTAAGAATAGCTCTGAGAAGATGAAAGATACCCAAAGCAAAAGAAGTCCCAAGGGACACTCTGGATCTCAGTCAGAGACCAAAAACTGAGATTTTGTAAGAAAAGTGAGATTTTTGTGTTCAGCAAAATGTTTTCTTATAAATAATTAGCATTTTGGAGCTCCAACAGCATCAAACACCTCCAGCTAGAAGTGTAAGGAAACTTTTAATAGCTGGTTGAGTTTAGAAGAAAAACAATCTTAAACTTTAACAACCAAACGGCTGAACGAATAAAATCTGGCTGGGAAAACGCCCGTGATTATAAAATCCATGATGTAATCAATGTGCTGCATGATTAGCATTCCGGTTTCCCAAATTAGGAAAAAGAAAACGACATTTATACAGAACCTCCCGAGATAAAAATCACAAGGTGCTTCACAAAAACTAAACATTTTAAATATAAGAAAGATTTAAAAAGATGATTAAA